GGGAGATGTTCATGTTGCTGCAGTCTGCAGTCTGACCGCTAGATGTCGCTAAAAGTTACACACTGTAGCTTTAAGGGTGGATTAGACTTCTTCAACCGCACACATCAAATGTCGCCTGGCGTCTGGTCACGAACCAGTTTTGTTTGTATGCTTCTGCAACTTCGGTTTGGAATTTCTAGGGATGCACAGCAGTTTCCCACCAAAGCGTTAGGGGAAGCCTATTCGAGAACTCGCGAGAACTTCGTCGGAAGGTCACGATGAACTTCTTCGGTGGTGCCAGCGTGAGTGTTTATTTTCCAAAACAACATGTCTGAGGCATCATACAAGTGGTTGTACTTCCAAACCTCCTCGATCAACCTTTCGGCGTGGTTATCCATTGTTGTTATTAATCCTCGGTTTTTAAAAATGGCGTGCCGTCTGACGTGTAGTCAGGATTTAGAGCCTCTGCGCGGGGGGAGACAGATTTGACGGTTGAAGAGGCTATGCGTCAGAAGTATAAATTGGCCTTTAGAAAACACTTGAGCAAGAGCAAAATATAACTTTTAATTACAGGGGTATGCAGGGACCAAGGGTTGATAAGAAGATTCAATATATAGGTTCAAATTGGCAACAAAACTAATTATCCCCAAGTACTTAACACTAAATCAGATTTAGTTATGACATAATAAAATATTTGTTTTTCTAACCTTTTAAATCTTAACTCAAAATATATTTTAAAAGCCTCTGTACAAACTTATGGTTTCTAAGACTTAAAAATCTTACTTTAAAACGACAGAGGAAGTCAAAAACCATTCCAGATGCAGTCATGAAGGAAAAACAAAATATATAGATTCAAGGAAAAACAAAAACAAATGCATGTATAGGGGAAGAATAAAAATGTCTCTTCCCTATGAACATGAACCCGTGGGACCAGGAAACCTACCTCCTCATGATCTGTATCTCCAGACACCAGCGCTCTTTGTTTCTTTCACTCAGCTCCTGACGACACTGCTTTAAAGCAATCTGTTCCTCTGTGTCCTGGAAGCACAAACATACACTCAGGTTTACACCATTCCAGAGGACTAACATTACATTACAGTATATTTACAACTTCCCTGTCTGCCAATGCTCTGCTATAATCCTCCCAAGCACACACACAAAAAAATTCATTTTGAAAAACTCACACGAAGAGAAAAGACAATTAGGAGAAATGTATTGATACAATTACTTTGTCTTTGGCGCTCAGACCTCGGCAGGAAACATAGTGCTTGATTTTGATAGATATGCACAGTCTATAAGGAGCAAAGAACAGGGCTGTTTCCCCCCAGGCCTGAAACTGGTGGTGGAGTGGAGATAGATGAAGCTGGTCAGTTTGTAGACTGCTGGTTAGAGAGACGATATGCTGAGCTTTATCGGGAGATCCAGTTGACTGCGTGAGCTGATACTAAAGTTTCACTCAGGGACCTGTAAGATCGAAGTCCAGTTTGATAACAGGTTGAGAGAACCTGTCCATGATGAGCAAGCATGGAGCGACAGTGGAGAGGAAAAACTCCCCGTTGGGAAGAAACCTCTGGCAGAACCGGGCTCAACATGGCGGTTTTCTGCCGTACCGGTTAAGATGAGACAGGGAACGCGGTAAGAGTCTGGAGGAATGACACTCTGATGAAGCTTTAGCTGGAGGAGGGGCTGTAGGTGGGTTGAAACGGTGTCATCTAAATGAAGTCACACAGCGCATCTGCCGCCCGCATGCAGGAGCAGACAGGTGCGTATTAAGATGAACTTTGGAAGCCGATTGGCTTTCGTGGAGGTGTGATTCAAAGCTGATTGGATGTGTCGTAGCTGGATTTAGGCAAGCAATGAGTTTCTTTAGTCGAACTTCCGCCTAGGCTCAATATGTCAAAGGACTAGTTCTGCCATTTAAAAGTTTTTTTTGGATTTCATTCAAGACAGAAAACAGTCTTGGATATTTGCCTTTAAAAATATTTAATGGGACACGCTTTAGCGAGCAGTTAGAATGAAACAAATTTCAATCAGCCAATTAAAGCTACCATTGTTAATCCAGTTCAGCTGTTTAATAAGAAGCTTGTATGCTCTCAAAGTTAATAAAACTTTGCATCACAGATGCAAATAGCATATGAATAAACTGTAATCCAGGCCAGTTAACACAATTGTACTGGAATCATTTATCCTCTTTATCAGCAATAGAAAGCCCTATATTTCACTTTAATTTGGCTTGTTTAGATTTATTATGATTAAACAACACTTCTTTGACATTTATTCATATTTGGGGAAAAGAAATTAAAACCTGGGAGCAAATCCATGCTAACGACTGGCTGCCTTTTAATTAAATTTAAAAAACAAAGTTCGATTGGATTAATTAATAAACAGAATTATTTTACTATGGTGATTTATATGAGTGAACAGAAAGGCTCTTAACTAAATGAAAGTTGCTTCAAATCTTAATCTGCATGTTGAGCTGTGATTGCCCCAGTGATTTAACACATACTGTGAAAAAACAACTAATTAGTGCAAGAATGAATTTATGTCTAATGGAGTGAAATGGTAAAGAGGAATAAGTAGAAAAAAAAAGAAACAAAAAGAAAACAAGATGCAAAAAGGCAAAGAAACCAGTTGTGATCTGTCAAAATAAAAAGCATGTTAAAGCTTGTTTCAAACTTTGTTGCTGAAGATATGGAAAATATTTTGTTGCAGGAAAAAAGCAGTTTAGTCATTAAACACAACAAGGGGATTTGCTATGAATATCATCCCAAATAACACATTCCTTTGACTGAGGTTTGCACATGGAGACATAAAGGTATCACTCTCGGTGACACCTAGAGCTGAAGGTAAGAAGGATGGACAAATGTAAAGCAACATTCTTGATAAGGACAAATTGGGATTTCGAAGCAGCACAATAGTTCCAAAAACACAGACATGGAAACAGTTTATTGGTTAAGAGAAAGAGATTAAAACTGATAGAACGGCTAAGAATTGTCTGACTTATATATTTGACATAAATCTTCGAAAAGAATATAGAAAGTGATTGCATAGAAAATAAATAGAAATGATCCCCTGATCCTTTAAGATTTGAGGACAATTTGTGAGGAAGAATGGGTTAAAAATTACATCAGTAAAGCATGTGAGCATGTTCTAATTATGACTTACCTTAAATATGTCAAAAACAAAAAAACAAATAAATAAATTCCACAAAGCATCTAATATATTTGTTAAACCAATATTACATTTGTGTTACTGCGACCAAAGCCAACTACCAGTAGTAAACAAGAAGAAGAAGAAGCGGAGCAGCGTAGCCGGGTGTAGCAGGAAAAAATCAGTTGTTGTGGAGAATTGTGTGGGAATGGCGAGTGGGAAAGAACAGGAGTTGGAAGACAGCAGCACTTTATAGGTCTGCTGTATGGGACCGCTTTGCATTTAGAGTGACCTACGATGACGGTGGAAAGAAAGTTGTGGATAAAAGGGCAACAGTGTGCAAGCATTGTGCAATACGTTTTGTTTAAGCTAACAGCAACATGACCAACATGTCATGCTAACCCCGAAATCCCTCATACTCCGTCAGCAATCCCCGCTCCGCCCCACTGCGCTCCAGACCGGCTGCTCAAAGCAAAGCCTACAGCCTCCACTGTGGCTCCCGTCCGCTCCCCTCTCTCTCCCTTGGAGATGGTAGAGAGCATGCGCGAGATGAATTAAATTCAAAGCAGCAAAACATACGGAGATGATCCAGGGTTTCCACGGATCATTTAAAATAATTACAATCCATTATTTTTTGGGGGATTTTTTCATTAATTCCATAAATTTTTATGGGATTTCGGTGTAACAATCAACATGTATCGAACCGAACCGAAAACCGTGACCAGAAACCGTGAATCGAACCGAACCGTGGATTTTGTGAACCGTTCCACCCCTAATGTAATACAATAAAACAGGAAATGCTTGTTCCTTTATATCCAACAGGTGAAACATTCTTCCAGTGGTGCTAATGTTAACACTTACAACTGCAACCTCCAGAGCATAATGTTAGCTTGGCATGAACAGACTACCAACATTAAAAAAAAAACCTTATTTAACACAAAACTAGGATAAAATGGTGATGTTTTCCCTATCTTGTCATTACCCAGCAGCCCTTGCAGCTGCTCTGGCCTCACAGGACATTAAAATGACTGCTTGAGTGACTGGTGGACAAAGGAGAAATAGAGCTTGGACTGACTGACACAAAGCTACTGGGTGTAAATGATTCATCATGACCTGTTATAGAGGCCTACAGTTCATAATTCATGTAAATCTGAATAAAAACGTATTAAACACAAACGCATCTTATTGAATATTATTTATTTTCAGCACCAGTTATTATAGAAAAGCTCTCTCAAGTAGTTTCTGATGGATTCTGGAAATAGGAGATTAGCCTCTGGTCTAATGCGCCACCTGGTTTGAGAAATCGTTCAAAGACTTACTTTTACTTATTATTTAGGTAGCACACACATATGATCATTATCTTATTTTATTCTTATCCTTCTTATTTTATTATTATATCTTATGTTTACTTACAAACTTAATTTTCTCTCTTCTGTAAACAGCTGCACTGCAAATAAAATATTTCCTGCAAGGAATTAATAAAGTAATTCTTATTCCCCACCCTGCTGGTGGTGTAATGTGTAGGGGACATCAATCAGCACACCTGGGTCCTTTGCTGCGTATCATTTAAACCTATTTCAGTTTTGCTGGCATTTCTAAATGACCCAAGTCATATGGCTGTTTCCAGTAGAATCATTTTGCATAAACTGTATTAAAATTGGGTGTGCTGGAGATGTGCAGCAAACAAATCAGCAGCAAGAGCAAAGCTAACATGGCTATACTGACAAAAATCCTAATAGTTTATTCTATGCAAAAAAATAAAAATACAGCTGTTTTGATGGGAAAAGAGTGTCCAACCCAGTGCAAGCAAGGTGTATCCAATAAAAAAGCTTGTGAGTGTATTTCCCATTTCCAAAAATAAGCTCCCTCCTTCAGTTTCTCATCAAGGAAATGATACCACCCGTCTCCCCACCATCCGGCTTTCCCAATTAAATCCCAGACCGCCCTGTGTTCAATCACCCAATCGTAATCAACAGAGACATTATTAATGCAGGAAGACAGGAAACTTTCTATGCAGGATGTTTAGTCATGGTGCAGAGGCTCCACCAATAAACTAGTCCTCATGTTCTCTTAAAGCCTGAAATGTACCTCCACATGGTTTCATTATGACGTAATTGATCATAAAGAAAATATTTAAAAAATCTACCTCGTCCCAGATTAATATGGTATTAATGGAGCAGACAAACTGCAATCTGAATAACATATTCAACAGAAAGTGTTGGAGAATCTACCGTAAGCATTAGCACTGACTCAGCAGGAGGCTGCAGCCCACAGTAAAGGTGAGTAAGAACACAACATGCAGCTGTAATAAAAGGAACAGGAAGGTTCACCAAGGACAGAGAGTTCACACTCCCATACTCTACTCTTACTGGTATTACAGTTGTTCTTAGGTCATCTTCCTATGACTTATTAAACATTTCAGAAGCAACAATTGCACCAAACTGACCGTTTCCTGGACTGAGGTCATTCATCCTCTCTATATAAAGCAAGTGGAAAATCTAATGCTTTTGCTTGACATTAGTTTCTTCCTCTTAGTCAAAGATTTAGTCATAGATGAACGCAAAAACGAATCAAATTTTGTTAGGGCTGGTTAATTAATTGCATTTGCAATACAATTACAATATTCAAATCATAGAGGCACTCAGTTTTGTCGGAGTATGACACTGACTTTCTCACTCTAGTCTTTTACGTGGCGGTAATATGCTTAAAGTGGGTTTGCTGCGACACAAAAGGGAGGATTTTTTGTCAAATCATTTAACGCTAAATTTTTGATTTATTGTTGTTACATCATGAGCTCTTTTCTCTTGTTACACATCTTGCATGTAAACATAAATGAATAAAGGAAGCAGGAACTGCCTTCTGTTTTAGAGTTATATAAATGAAGGAGGTCCAGTTATTGTTTTCTGCAAGCTGGGTCTCACATTACAGGTGACTGAAAATAAAAGTTGTTTAATGCACCTTAACAATGGTTCAAAATTTACAGATGTCAAAAAATACAGTAGAAATAAAGGTATTTTTATAAAGGTGTATAAACTTCTTGGTTCAACAGGTTTGTACTTCCCTCTATCTGTTATTATTTTTGTTTTTACGAAGTGAATCTAGGTCAGATTTTTCATGCTAAGAGAAATAGAATGGGTACATTTTATTCTAAGGATTCTTAAGACGCCTTAAATCACGCAGACACGCAAAAATATTACTATATCTTTTTTGCTTTTTTTGTTTTCTTTTTCTTCCATAAGCTTCTGAAAATTTGGGACCTACTGAAAAAATGAAAACAAACAAAAACTGAGGATTCAAGACTCTGGCACTCTGATCTTTATCCTCTTTTCTGAGACACTTAAAACTGTTTGGAATCACCAGAAGTATAGAAGAAAGAATAAGACACTGTTAGGGATGGTTGCTGTTCCAGACTATGATTTGCTTTACCTTATTTTGCCATCTTGTGACATTCCCGAAGCCTCCAGTGCCGAGCCGCTCCTTCAGCTCCCATGGCCCGCAGGTCTGCGGCTGCTGCAGTGGGACCCGATTCATGGCCTCCTTGCCTAAACTCAGCAAAATGACAAGATAGGAGCTTTATCGAATATCCTTAAGAAAAAGTGATTAAACTGCTTAGTTTTGTACAGGATATTCTAGAAAAAAAATAAAATAAAAAAAAATAAACCATCTAAAGTATAAACTTGAACTGTCAAAAGGCTGAACCACAAACACTTAAACCAAATGATAAAAAAGCTCATAAAAATACTTTTTTAAAACCCCTGAATGATTATCAAGAATGATTTACATTCAGTTTTGACTCAAACCGCTGCTTCAGATGAAAGGAAATAAGATTTAAATGTTTAGAACTCACAACAAAAACCATTAATGTGGCCCAATTGTTTAACTTTTGCTAAAGTGCAGTCTCACGAGCCAAAATGCGTGCTAAAGTGCCTTCTACAGCGGTTAGGGTGTGCTGTATGTGTTTATTTTTTCTCTTTCTGCCCCTGCCATTTAAAAGGTCTGTGCACAGCACTGCCACTGTGGTGGAAGAAGGATAGCAGCCCCACACTGGGGAAATTCAGATCAGCATTTAAAACAAACAAAATAAAAAGTACAGTTACATGGTTTATTAGAAAACAAATTAAATGAATTTTGTGCAACTGATTAGGATGATTTGAAAGCGTATAAAATGTGCATGATTGTGTATAAAGAAACTGGAACAGAGTATTAACAAAAAAAAATGGAACGTGTCAAAGTCAGTTTGTTGGGAACGGAGGTGATTATAAAGTATAACAGCAGCTGAGAAGTAGAATCTGCAACAGCGTTCCTTTGTGCACCTCTGGCGCTGAAGTCTGTCACTGGAGGGGCTCTCAAGCTCTACTAAAACTTCCTACATGGAGTGGGACATATTTTTCCATCACGGATATTATTTTTGCTGCAGTCCTACTGTCTCCCATCTCCTTCACTGGGTCCAGGCAGCATCCCAGGACAGAGCTGGCCACCCTGATGAGCTTATCTGATAAACTACAACATATTATGTAACAATACATGTTTTTTTTTGTTGTTTTTTTTGTTTTGTTTTTGTTGAATGTAATTGTTTCTATGGAGATTGCAATGTGCCCCTTGGGGTTTTCCCAGCAATTGTAAAGCATATCTTTTTGTGAAACATACACTGTGTGCAGAATTAAGCAAGTTGTATTTTTGAGGATTATTTTTATTATTGGGCCACAATTGTGTTCTCAATCAACCCAAAAGACTCCTTAATATCAAAGTGTCATATTTTTTTTAAGTTGATGTGTTGTTTTTTTTTAGATTTGGCCATTTTATGAGGATGTCTGTCTGTGCAGGTAAATATTACTGTGCAGAATTACTAGGCAACATAATAAAAAACAAATATATGCCCATCTCACTTGTTTATTTTCACCAGGTAAACTAATATAACAACTCAAAATTCAGAAATAAACATTTGCGACATAAAAAAAAACAAAACCAAATCAGTGACCAATATAGCCACCTTTCTTCACCATGACACTCAAAAGCCTTCCATCCATAGATTCTGTCAGTGTCTTGATCTGTTTGTGATCCACATTGCGTGCAGCAGCCACCACAGCCTCCCAGACACTGTTCAGAGAGGTGGACTGTTTACCCTCCCTGTAGATCTCACATTTCATGAAGGACCCCAGGTTCTCCATGGGGTTCAGATCAGGTGAACAGGGGGGCCATGTCATTATTTTTCCTCCTTTTAGACTTTCTCTGGCCAGCCACGCTGTGGAGTATTTTGATGCGTGTGACGGAGCATTGTCCTGCATGAATATCCTGTTTTTCTTGAATGATGCCGACTTCTTCTTGTACCACTGTTGGAGAAGGTGTCTTCCAGAAACTGGCAGTAGGTCTGGGAGTTGATCTTGACTCCATCATCAACCCAAAAAAGGTCCCACAAGTTAATCTTTGATGATACCAGCACCTCACCTTCACCTTGCTGGTGTCTGAGTCGATAAGGAACTTGCTGCCCTTTACTGATCCAGCCTGGTGTCCATCCATCTGGCCCATCAAGACTCACTCTGATTTCATCAGACCAAAACACCTTGGAGAAATCAGTCTTCAGATATTTCTTGTCCCAATCTTGACATTTTGTCTTGTGTGTCTTGTTCAAAGGTGGCCTTTTTTCGGCTTTCCTTACCTTGGCCAGGTCCCTGAATATTGAGCACCTTGTTCTTCTCTGCCCTCTAGACATGTTGCAGCTCTGAAATATGGCACAACTGGTGGCTTCCTGTCAAGTTCACGCTTGATCTCAAATTATGGGGAGTTATTTTGCGTCTTCTTTTTCCAACACGCTTCTTGCGCCCCTGTTGGCAATTTGCCATGAAACGCTTGATTGTGCTACGATCCCGCTATAAAAGCTTCGCGATATCCAAACCTTTAAAAGACATCTGACAATTTTTGACTTTTCAGAGTCTGTCAAATACTTTTCTGACCCATTTTGCCAAAGGAAAGGAAGTTGCCTATTAATTAGGCACACCTTATATAGGGTGTTGATGTCATTAGGCCACACCCCTTCTCATTACAGAGATGCACACCACCTGATTTACTTATAATTGGTAGTTGGCTTTCAAGCCTATAGAGCTTGGAGTAGCACAACATGTCTGAAAGGGATGATGTGGTTGAAATACTCATTTGCTTAATAATTCTGCACACAGTGTAAAACACTGTTTATATCATTTTGTTGCAGTGAAAATAAAGAAATAAAAACACAGCTTAGAATCTGGCTGAACCTAGAAGAGAATCAACTGTTTAAATAAAGGAAAAATGTCTACTAAAAATATTTGAAAGCTTGAATTATTAAAAAATTGACTACATGGACTAAAAATATTTCAATTAATCTTACCTAAATGAATCTGTGGGGAATACTAAAGATTATGGTGCTGAAAGGAGGCCTCTCAACTCTTAAAGGTTTTTAAAAAAAAGACATTCAGAAAGCTTGTAAGCTCCTATATAAAGGTTTTGAACGTTGTTAATAAACGTGTCTATACTATTTAATGACAAATATTTAAATAATTTTAATGTACCCTGTACGCCTAAAACATTTTACTAGTATCAGATTGGAAATGACTTTATGTAGCCTTCCTATGACTGAAACTGTATGTTTTAGGTCAGAATAGAGTCATAAAGCTGTCATTGCATCCAGGTTTTAGGCTTTAATCATAAAATTTCTTCAAATGGAAATGCTATAAAAACATCTCTTTCCCGGGTGTTAGTTGTTATTACAGCGGACTCCAGCTGGACTTTCGCAGTTTGTTTTTATCAAGAGGAGCGCCTCAGTCCTACCTTTAACTTTCTCTGCAGCGTCTTTCTTGGCTTTCTTTAAACTCTCCTCTGTCTATTTGTGTATTTAGGGTCTTTCCACCTCTGCTGTAGTTATTTTGGCGTCGGCCAAACTCACAGCAGTCTGTCTACTTCCTGATAATCGCATTTCCTGTAAAACTTCAAAAAAAAAACTCCGACCCGCCCACTCACTGTTCACTGCAGTCACCTTCCTGCGGGGTTTTAGTGAGTTTGTTGGGGTTTCTATTGGAGTTCAATGCTTAAAAATACAGAATAAAAAATAAATAAATAAATAAAAAAAAACTCTATTTGAGACTAATTAATGAATGTTATGCTTTTGCTTTTGGGTTCTTCATGTTTTCCAGATTTGGTAGAATCCCTCTTCCCTAAAAACACTGCAGTTTTAGACCCAGATTATTTTTCTCCCTTCTCACTGGCTCTTGTTTTACGGAAGAGGATTAGGGCCACTGGAAAAAAAAAAAAAAAGTTTACTGATTTTTAAATTTTATTTCAGTTTAGTATGGAAAAAAGTCAGAATTCTGACTTTCTCAGAATTCTGACTTTAATCTCAGAATTCTGAATTTTTTCTCAGAACTCTTACTGAATTCTGACAATAAAAAGTCAGAATTCTTATGGAGAACTTCATTTGGAGAAATGTAATAATTAAAGCCTAAAACATAGATGCATTGACAGCTTTATGACTCTATTCTGACCTAAAACATACAGTTTCAGTCATAGGAAGGCTATATAAAGTAATTTCCAATCTGATAATAATAACATATTTTAGGCGTACATGGTACATTAAAAACTAATTAGATATTTGTCATTAAATAGTATAGACACGTTTATTAACTTTGCAGCATTCAAAACCTTTCTATAGGAGCTTACAAGCTTTCTGAATGTTTTTTTCAACCTTTAAGGGTTGAGAGGCCTCCTTGTTATCACCATAATCTTTAGCATTCCCCACAGATTCATTTAGGTAAAATTAATTGAAATATTTTTAGTACATGTAGTCAATTTTAATAATTCAAGCTTTCAAACATTTTCTGAGATTAAAGTCAGAATTCTGAGAAAAAAGTCAGAATTCTGAGATTAAAGTCAGAATTCTGAGAAAAAAGTNGAATTCTGAGATTAAAGTCAGAATTCTGAGAAAAAAGTTGGAATTCTGAGATTAAAGTCAGAATTCTGACTTTTTTCCCATACTAAACTGAAATAAAATCTTAAAATCAGTAAAAAAAAATTTTTCTTTCCAGTGGCCCCAATCCTCTTCCGTACTTTTTACATTTAAGATAAAGAAAATATATAGAAATAAACATTTTGTAATATATACTAATAGGATTTCCGATGTTAAGCTTAACTGCAATTTGCTGTCTAAAAGTCTGCAACACAAAATTTTAAATATACAGTGGTGTCAAAAGTACACACATTTGTTTCTTAGTAGAAGTATAGATACTTCAGTTTAAAAACACTCTGGTAAAAGTTCAAGTATCAACTCAAAAACTACTTAAAGTATAAAAGTATAAAGTAACCTTTAAAAAAACAGCCAGATGCCACTATATGAATCTAGATCATAGATCATGATCATGAGCTCTATCTTCACCATGACAGATTGATACAGGGCCTGTTTCACTGCAGATGCAGCACCAATCTGTCTACCGATCTTCTGCTCCATTCTTCCCCCATTCTACTACACTTGGGCAAGACTTCTTACTTCCTTTTCCTTTTCCAGGCTGCCACCTTACCGTGGTGGGGCGTCTGAGTTTCCCAATGATCCTATGAACTATGGTGTCAGGGGCTTTCATGCTCCCAGAGGGATCACTCAAGGTAGACAGGTCCACGAAGCATGGAGTCGTTCAGAGCTCAAAGAAGAATCATGGTCCTTACTTCCGATAGTCCCAGTACTTGTAGGATGGGCCGAAGGGGTTAGGTGCATTATGCAATAGGTGGAAGCCAGGTACGAGGATCTTGGCAATCCTAGACTGCGAATAATCTAATGTTCATTCAAGTAGTCTGTGATTAATCTAAAACTGCATGCGTCTACTTACTTTTGTACCTAATCTGTGGGTCTCTGCGGCTCCCCAAGAGGTACGAATGGCTTCCTGGCTAAGGCTGAAGGTTATAATAATAATACATTTTGTTTCATGGCGCCTTTCTGGACACTCAAGGTCACCATACAAAAAACAAAAAAAAAACACAATATGTCTTATTTTTAACACAGTTATGTCTTATTTTACCATAGAAAGACTCAGAATGAGACAAGGAGGCAATTAGAGACTTTATGGTCTTAAATAGATATAATTATTTTGGTGCATAGAGCCTGGCAGAAGATGTAGAGCTGATCAATGCTGATTTTGACACAATGGGTAGATGTGTGAGAATGGAGATGACTTTCCTAGGCCATGGACACACTGGCAGTGGACTGGAAGAGGCAGTAGGGAGGGCGCAGGTGAGGCTTGGCAGGGTCTTTCAAATTGAAAATACTTTTAGGCTCCATTAGATTTATATTTGTTTGTATTTCATAATGTTGTATAAAGCAGAACTCTGAAAGATGTATATATCTCTGGATAATGTTTCATTACCGAATTCTGTTTTGAACCTCTCCACAACTTCATTCTTGACCTGCTTTTGTTCTTTGATCTTCATGACAATGTTGTCTAATAAGCTTCTAAATCCTTTAAAAAAAGAGAAGGATTTGCACCAATGTTGAATTACATAATAGTGTCCTGGATTTGTTTATGGGGTACTGTTTGATGCTTTTGATTTTTATTTTTTTTTTATATATATATATATATATATATATATATTTTGATTAGTTATAATCTTATTTCTGTGGAGGAATTATCTCCAATCTAAATAGATCATTTGTAGGGGAGTTCGGTGTTGATTGCCAGAGTCATCATATCTGGGCCAGCATAGGCCAGTGTAAAATAATATTTTAACTGAAACTTTCAATAACTAGATTCAACATAACTCACTGGTTAGAACATTTGGCGGAAAAGCCATCAGAGGACCTGTAACTTTTTGATTAGAAAATATTTTTTCCCAGATGAATAGAAATATTCTCCTTATTTAAGAAAATAGCATGTTAAAGTTAATACTTTTCTCTTTATATTGACATATTTTTTTATTTATTACAAGTAGGATATTTTTTTCCTCTGATGGATAAAAAAATGTAGCAGTTAGCTTAGCTATAACGAAAAATAATACACAAATAAATAAAAATCCAGTTGATGCCCCCTTCTTTTTTGCCATCCACTCTCAAATGCCCATTTGCAAAAAATGGGAAGAGAATCAGATAGACAAATAATTTTGGTGTATTCATGGAAAGAAATCAGGGCCTCTCAATGAGGACCCATGATGCTACACATTTAGCATGGCCCGGTGCTTTTAATATAAGAATGTCAATTAAATCTTATTTTCATCTGTTTTCTCCACATGTTTAAATTCAAATAAAACTGATGTTTCTTTATTAATTTTAGAATGTCTTTTTCTTGAACTATAAATTATTTTAATTCCATGAATATGTTGATCAGTAAATAAAAATCATACATTTAGCGTTTACAGGCCACTCTAGGAAGGTTAAATGTCGTTAGGAAACAAGAAAAGATGCCCGCTTGGCTTTGGATTTAATGTTTAGGATATCAGGTCCTGGGCAAACTTCCCTTGCTTTCTTGGACAAACAACTTTAGTGTAACTTATTTTTTTATTATTATTTTTTTTATAAAGCACTTTAACAGTATTTGGATGACCCTCAAATAATCTAAACCTCTTAAAAATTCATTCTTTACAAGGCTATTAAGATTTTATTTAGAGTGGCTTTTAAGTCTGTCAACACTAATTAGTAATACACAATGTTTCAGCGGTATTATTCATGTCCATTAGCCCAGTTTAATCTAAACTACGTATTTCCTTACGACACATCTTATAACTCGGCTGGGTCATTGTTGACCCAGCGGATGTTGTAATTGGAGAACCACTTGAGATTTTCCAGCTGAATGACGTTTTGTTTTCATTGCCTGCTATTCCTGGAGATTAACAGGCTCAAAAATGTAGCAGAAAAATAACAGCAAACATTGGATACACATCTGACGTTTCTTTTATAAAGAGTTTTTGTTTATGAAAAACATGTGATCTAGAGAAATGTTTAAAAGTGGTTTTCAAAATGTTCTAATGAGGGGGGGAATGCAAAGCTTCAGCAAAAAAGCTTAAGCAAAACTTCTAATAAGTTTATTTTCTTAATTAGTACCACTAAGTACTACGGTAATAGTCAAATGTCTGATATAGTTTCTTATGACTTATCACTATACAATCAATTATTGTTTTCTTTACTTGAATGAAAGATATTAAAGTATTTTTATATCTGGTGTTATGAACCATTGTTTTTGCTTCACTTGACCAAGTTTTAAATAAATTATTTTTAACATTTATGACATAAAAAAAAAAGAAAAGCAATCATCTTTCTACTGTCATTATTCCAGATTTTAGACAACTTGGAAACGTTTCCCAGAGTAACTGTTGTCATCTTCAAAATAGGAATTTTTCCCTGTCTTATTCCTAATGGATTTAAAATAAATCTATCAATTGTAAGATTGTTTGATTACAGCAGAGGCACAAGTAGGCCTAAAAACAAAGGTGTATCCAACGGGTCTGAGGTGGATTCTTATTAAAGTAGTTGTCATGATCTTGGCACTGATGGCTGGATGGATTACCCGTTTCATTCACCCGTCTATCTTCGCCCAATTCTCATTACTGTTCATCTGATCCACCTGCTTCAGTCTCTATTTAAACAGCCTTCAACGAGTCATCAGTGCCAGATTATTCAAGCCTTTTGTGAGAGTTCTCTAGCGTACCTGTGTGCTCTGATTGCCTGATCCAGACCCATTCTGCCTCTGGACCTCTGAGCTCCCTGTTCTGATCTGTTTGCCTGACCTGTCCCCAGAGTCTTGCCTGTGTACCAAACCTGGAACTGATTCCTGACACCATCTCTTTGGATCTCTGATCTCCTAGCTCTCTCACCTGAGCATGTCCTCAACATCGGCTTTGGCTTCACCCTCTGGATTATCCTGCCTTCCTTCTTCTACTCGGCTCTGATCTCCTGCCTGTTCTCCAACCTCCGGTACTTCAAAGTCTTGGACTCTCTGGGAGGTGTCCGGCGCGTCATGTAGGCAGCCAACCAACAAAACCAACCTCATCCTCTGGGCACGGACTGAACTTTAATACCACGTTAGTGACTCGCACACTCATTGTCATCCTCCGTCAGATAGGCGTGATCACCATCCAGTTGCCTCCTCCTGCAAAGGTTCCTCCCTTAGACGCCGTAGCTGTTCACTACAGTTCCGTCTCCTAATAAAAGTTATGAGAAATCTGTCAGCCTCGAATACTGGATCCTACTCTCCTGAGCGCAACAGTAAGACATGTGATGGGAAATGAAACATCAAAAACAAAACATCTTTAAAATGTTGCGTCCAACTCTGATTATATTCATTTGTCCATTCTGAAGGCTGTGTCTCAACTCATATGTGCAACCTTCATATTTATGGAATAAAAAATGTTAACGTTTCTTAGAGTATATATATTTTTTCAGTCCTTTTTTCCAGTCAAATTATTTACTGGGTTATTATTTGAGCCCTTGGTGTAATGTGGCCACACTACTCTGGTGGGAATTTACCACTGATTTTTGTTGTCTCCATAAGGGCTCTTATTTAGAAACACAGAGGTCAGATATCAATGACTTTGGTTCATATCTATTATTGATTTTCCTCAAATCGGAACACCATATTATGATCTTTTTCTCCATGGGAGGATGTCAGACAGGTTCTATTTAGGTCATTGCTTGACGCTACAGGTTTGGTGGGATCTAGGCATACTTTTGTTGAGAGAAACTAGACTTAGACAATTTTGTGATTTACCGTAATGATTTAAAAACAGGGCAATGATATCCTCACATAAGGCCAACTGGTTCTGGGTAGCTTAAACCATCAAAAAATAAATCAAACACATTTGGTGTCAAATGCTTTTTTCAGGGTCCATTAGCTACCAAACTGTTTATCTCATTCACTTAGTCAGCTCCGTCTTAGTAACATGAATTACTACTGAATTCTCTGTAGAAAAGAGTTTTGTGCCAAAGTGATTTCTTAGAAATTACTTCTACAGCGCATGTTTTGGTGTACTTCTCAAAAAAAGGAAATTAAATGAGAAAATTTGGACAAACTTTCTTCTTATATGAAGTGTTAAGGTGCTTAGTTCTAATGAGTATAGTGTAGTTTTCATAACCTTTAAAATAACCCCTCAGGAGGAGCTGTTCCAGCAAATTCAGCAAAGGCAAAGGGGTAGAATTCCTGAGAAAGAGCTTGGATAAGGGATGTGGCTGAAAGAAATGCATCCCACTGAATCATCATCGACACATAGAAACTTCTACAACCACAATGCTCAGCAGCCACCATCAATTAGCTCTGTGAATTAACCTACCTTAATGTTTCTCACCTTTTTCCATTTTTAGAAGTCATTTGTAAAAATATTTTTCATTGATGTTTGAACAACATGTCTTCCTAAATATCAGATATAAACATAAAATATGTAGATTTTATACGTCTTTGTTCTGTGATATGTCGACTTTAAAAGTGAACGTGTTGGTTGTTCGGGAAAACTGATCATGTCTCTGATATTTCTAAAAAAATTACAATTATGGAAACATTCTAGGGCAAATAATTATTTTATGTGACTTATTTTTGCTCTGGTGGAATGTATATATTTTATTTTGGTCCTTATTGTAGATTTGGATTAAGTGATTATACATTAAAATTTTTTAATGAGTTTTAAAAGCAAGAGATAATTATATTTCCTCCAATCCACAAAGGGTCTGTGTCACACGGCATGTTGTAGCCATTAAAAAGCCACAAGCATACTTTTGGCTGGATGTTTGTCCACTTGTCTGAAACTGTAGCATTTAATCTAATTCAGATACTTTTTTTTGGATGGCCCTATGCAAGGTCCACATACAGTATATACGCACAGATAAAAAAAAAATAAAAAAAAAAATAAAAAAAAACTTTCCAGAAACGTAACTTTTCCTCTTTATCTATTCCCAAACCCTCCCTGATGAGTTTTTCCCTGTCGGAAAATCCAAGTGTTCTTTTCTTTCAATTCCTTCTATATTATATCGTCCATTATGATACTACCACCACTGTTGACAAATGGCTCAGAGTTAAAACGGCAAACCTGCCTTGATGGTTTTTGGATGGTTCTGGAACCCCCTCTTTCTTTGACCACAGTGGGAATATTTGAGCAAGATGGATGGATGGCTAAACAGGAACCTAAATAAGTGTTTGAACCAGACAATAATCCAAAACCCAAAAACCTGTTTTTTAATGGCAAATCAGGCAGACATAAGACTCCAGCAAAATGCTTCCTAATGCCCTCACCTTTACATAATACTGACAAGATGCTCTTTGGTATGATTTCAATTTCTAATTTAGTCATATTTTCCAAAAATATATTAAACAAGAACTGCTCTAAATTATTATTTAAATTATCTAAATTATAAATTTTTAGTGCTCTATTATTTTTCAAGGCTGCACTTAAAAAAAAGAAAAAGAAATTGTCCAAAGAGCAGTTCTAAACGAAATTTCTTTTTGTAGCATAATTTTTAATTTTGTGAAATATCTGGGTCAGTGATAATATTTACAAAATAAATACAATTATATTTAGTAATGTAATAGTGATAATAATGGTCATTATTGTTTTTTTTTTTAGCTGTTGGTAGAAAAACTGCTCTACTTTACCATCAACTATTACTTGTGATGCATAGAAGTGCAACAATTGAGAAATGATGTAAACAATCCTCCTCCACATTCAGCACCATCATCATGGGTAAGCCGTCCCCTGCTTAGGTCACATCAGCCCGCCTATCAGCAGCCGGTGGGACCGGACATAAAAAGTTGGGACGGTGCCGTGGAAGCGGTAGAACCCTGCGGACATCAGTGTTGCTCAGACCGTTTCCGAGAAGACTTAATCAGCCGGTAAGTTTGTTTTATTTATTCAGTGTCTCGATGCGCTCGGTCTTCAGCTGCTCAGTGTTTTCACCACCGGTATCCAACCATAGGGGCTCACTATCACTAATGCTTCTCTTTGCACGATTTTCACCATGATGTGCTGCTTTATAAAGAATCATTACGGTCTCATTTAGTTTGATGCTTTTCATCCTAATAATAAAAAAAAAAATTCATCAGATAGATGTTCATTAGGAAGAATTTATCTAAGGTCAGCAGTTATAACATGATGAGGTTTATTCCTGCTAAAACTCTGCGTTTAATGTTAGAGTTTTACTGGTATTGAATTTGTGTATTTTCCCATTGATTTAGTAAAGAAAATAATCTGGGTGAATTTCAGATTCTGATGTTCCTTTTGTATCTGATCCTCTGCTATATCTGGTGCAGAGGCGTAGCCAGAATTTTTTTCAGGGTGGCCAGGCAATAACCAATGTACACTGAGGGGTGGTCCAAAGCAGATAGGCACCAGAACCTTAATCTACACTGTTCCAACAGGAAAATTAACGAGCAAAACATCTACAGTATATTTTCTAAATAAAGACTAACTATACATTTCTGCAGTCCTTCCTAACAAATAGGCGCATATATTTCAACACCCGTGCTTTCTAGATTAAAGGTATAGTGGAAACAATATCTTGGGCGAACATATTTTCCTTTGTCATTACTTACCTACTTTTATCAATAATCATTATGCATAAATTTGATATTTACAAGTACTGATATCTACATAAATTGATTATTTGATACATTTTTACTAAAATAGTTATTTATCTATGATTTTACTGAAGACTCTTAGATGACTTGCAGAGACATAATTTTCTCTTTACCCCATATAACACAAAATCTAGTTCTGAAAAGATCAGGAATTCTGTACTTATCGTCTTTAATATTAGTACATTGATGTGCATAATTAGGAGTGTTTTATTCTTTCTTCAAGTACTTGTTAATGTATGAAAATATGAAAAATTTTAATATTCCACTTAAGAGTATTACTGCTGCCAACATCTGTATTAGAAGGGGGAAAAAAATGGTATGGGTGGCCAATGATTGGCTAAGGGGGGCCATGGCCCCATCCTGGCCCCCCACCTGGCTCCGCCCCTGATCTGATGACCTTTACCTCCCTGTGCAGCTTTTTTTTTTTTTAGCTGTTGATCTAGATAAAGCATTATTTACTGCAAAAAGCAGCGAGTGTGTCAGAAGGATCTATTTATCTGCACTGCAGGGATTCTTCTTGAAACAGATGCTGGGAGGTTTAAAAGCTTGATCCAGAGGTGGGCATCTCACCCAGATGTTTGGGAGTCACACCGTCAGACAATGAAGATGAAACACACAGACCTTTCAACCTTTAAAATTGTTATCTGCACACTCCACTGTCTATACAAGCCATAAATGCCTCAATGTGTCTGCAGCCCTGGGAATCGGGATGACTCACAGCTACTCACTCTCTGCTGACCGGTTGAATTTAATATCTTCTGCTTCCTCCTCCCTTATTCCTCCCTCTTTTCTTTCTAAACTCTCCATCCTTTCATATTTTTCCCCCTGAAACTGGCTGATGCCTCACCGTTTACTCTCATTTCTTAATTTCATCACCTTTCTGCCTCTGCAGACTTTTTAGTTCATCATGTTTCTGGCTGATAAGGAGTTCCCAGTGCTGTTGCACAAAAAGGGAGTCTGGAGGGTAACAAAGCAACTTTCTGTTCTGTTGGACTTGAAATCAGATCACAGCTGCTTTGTTGAAGCTTGACCAAAAAAAACCCTCAGGCAAAGCATGAATAGATAATGGCTGATTGTTACAAAATTACACTGTAGGTTTAAACAGTTTATCATTAATATGACCTTATATAATAGTTTGAAAGTTCATAAAATCTACTTCAGGTGTGATTATGTATTTTTTTTTATTGTAAACAAACATTATTAAAAAGACATGAAACTCAGGAAATGAACTATTTTTACTAATCTTCAGTTCCTAAAAGACTGGATCATGAATCTTGTTTTTTTTTTATACAAGTTCCTCCCCTAGGTGCAAGTACAAAACACCATTTACCATTATTTGTATTTATTTCCATTAGTTTGCAATAGAGCTGCACATCTCACATTAAATGTAATTAAATGTTTTGTAAGATTCAAAATTCACGAAATAAATTGATCTTAACAGCTTTTTTTTTTACCCACATTTTTCTAAACACTTTTGTTTAGAAACAAAAATAGAAGCTAACGGAGTAATGGGTCGATCACAATAAGCCCATTATTCTATGTTAGCTTTACCATCTCTGCCTCTATAAATACACATCAAGTGTGGTCATCGAGGACACTATTAAAGCAAAATGCGTTTTTGGTGTGAATGCATGACATGTGAAAAAAAAAAAAAAAAATCATAAATGTTGGAGTAAATGTGAACCAATGTGCAAATAAATGGATTAGTTGATGTGTACAGTAAACAATAATATTAGGCTTTGGGTTTGGAAATGGAAATGCCACTGTATGAATTTAAATAGTTTTTTTTAATTATCCAAAACTAAACCGTTTTAGGAGAGAATATGTTATATAGGACACATTAAAGAGACAGAAGGTAAAATGGACTAGTTATGACATCAGAAAAAAACATTGCTCATTTCATCATAGGATTCGGAAAACCAAATCATCATTAAGCAACAATGAGAAGAAGAGAAAGAGGATCCATGAAAAAAAAAAATTCAAAACAGACTGCTTAAATTTCATTTTTTGCAGCCTTCGTGGATTTTTTTGTTCCTCATCAATTATCCATTCACAGTTTATTATGTTGGCGTTTTGCACGAACATGGCACCCCCTCACATGGTACGTTTTAAAAGCTCAGCACAACATCATTATTACCCATCCATTCTAATGCTCTTAATACTACTCGCTAAGACTGCAGTCAGCACTAAACGCCAGTTCCATAAATACACAGAAATGTCACGCACCTGGTGGCGTATACTTCCAGTTTTGGACATAACTGCAGAGTGCAGGCATGTTTGTGTCTACCTATCACCAGTGTCTGTTGGATTTGTTTGTAGTGCTTAAATGCTTCATCTTAAACCTGCCATTATGAGTCACAGTCTGGTATCTACTTCTCTAAAGACATTTTCATGTCTATTCTTATTTGACCTACTAAGAAGGGGGATCACACTCTCTCTCCAGGTGGAGGAGAAATTGGTTGAAGGTGTTTCTGATATTACTTATTTTTTATGAATTATTTAAATATAAATGTTTAGGTCACTTCTAAATTCTCAAAGCTTAGATTTTTTTTTTCCATTTTGGGAAATTATGGAATTGATGCTGCAAAGAAAACAAAACATTGATGCATGATGGTTGCAGCATCATGCTGTGGAGATACGGTAGTTTGATTTAGAAAATACCATAGAGCAAATGGGAGATAATTAAAAGATAAGTCCAAAAAACAAGATAATTCTGCACAGGAACCTGTTAAAAGCTGCAAATGACTTCAGATTGGAGTATAGGTTCACCTTAAAACAGGATATTATCCTGTGATCCTAAATAAGTGATAAACGGAACAATGAAGAGCTTAAAATCAAAGCATACACATTTGTTGGAAAGGCCTAGTCAAAGTCTGATCTTAAATCCATCTGCAAATCTGTTGCAAGACTTGAAACCTATTTCATAAGCGATCTTTATCCAATTAGTGTCTTTGAGCTGGATTTGTATATGTGAAAGATGTTTGTTTAAAATAAAAAGACTTCCTCTTTACCACTTTTCACTAAATCCCACTATAATGCAATGAATGCTGTTGTGACCACCCAAAAAGTTAGGGAAAAGTTAAGATGGTGTTAATCAGTGATTGTATTTTCTCCAGTCCAATGCTAAATAATATTTAATAATTGAACGTTATTGATCTCACACTGGAGAAATTTACCTCTGCATATAACCCATCCTCTTTGGGAGCAGTGGTGTGCCATTGTGCAGCACCCAAGGAACAGTTTGGGGTTAAGGGTCTTGCTCAGGGACCCAGAGTCCAGACTGTGGGTATCAAACCGGGTACTTGCAACCTTCTCAGAGCAGATCCGCACTGCTATAATCACTAGGCTAACACTTGCCCTCCAAAGGCTCTTATTTTCTGAATTCCCATAAAACCATGTAATTCCCCCCCCAAAAAAAGGTAATTATAATTACGTTATTTTTGTCCTTTAAATAGGGCACTGTTGTTTGCATACTCTTGTGTTCACGATTTATATACAATCAAGTTGCAAAAATGAAAAAAATGTACCCAGTTTCAGCATTGATGACACCCTAAATGGGCCTCTGCATTTCTAAAAGGGTGGGAAACACATGTTCATGTCTGATATGCTGCATGCTGATGAGTGTTTTTGTGCGTGCATGGTCCGATATACAACCCCCCCACCACACCAAGTCAGATGCCTGATGCCAGCTGTGTTTTAGCAGGAAACACATGCTTTCAGCTGACATGGCTTCAGAGAGGGCCGCACTGAATGGAGCAGGACACATGCACAAGGGCAACAAAAAAAAAAAAAAGCTGGTTTGTTGTCACTCCACCAGTGAGGCTCTTGTATTGGGGGGATAGTGGGGGAGCAAGCATTGAACAGTGGAGTTTTTATTTGACTCGGGACATATGGTTTCTACCAGGGGCTGTGCAGTTTTTCGTGAGCTTGTGTTCTATAAGTTGTATTCCATACAGGATGAGTTTGCTTTACTGAACCTCGAGTTTATAGAGCAGTAATTGGGGAGATTATCTCCACATTCCAGACCACTTTGTTCATTTTTGTGAGTGGTTGCCAACGTAGCTGTTTCGCATCACATACATTTTACAACACATATATTTAATGAGCTCAGGCACCACAGAATGACTCACTGCAGATTGTACCAGGCAATGTGAAGGAGAACCTCTCCCTCCCTGGTATATCTTCAGATAGCCATTACTGTCGACCTTAATGCACCGTCTCTATGAAAGAAGTTCCCCTTACCTATTTTTAAAACAAGTTGGAAGTTCTTTATCCGTTTTATGTCTTAGTTTATATATTGCAGAGCTTTCTCAATTCCTTTTTTAGATCTTCCTCCTTTAATCTTCTCCACTGTTGTGACTCATGTTTACTCACACTGGATTGAGGAACAGCAGACTCGGTTTTTCTTCCCGTTTCTTGATTATAAAAGTCTTTTAGAACAAAAGGAACCATTCTGAAGTCCAAAACCTGTCTCTTAACCTTAATGCTTTTAATATACATTTTACTTCAAAGATCAGAAAGTAGTGCATAATCGATCAGCCTCGCACAGACAACATTTTTTATATTCTTCTTTTGCACACTACCTTAGGCTCAATCAGACTGTTTAAAGATTGTCTTTACATAATCTTTTGCGTTTGTTCACCTTTTGGCGTCCAGTGCAATCTGTGTGGGATAATCAAAGTTTGTGGAAAAAGTTTAATCTCTGTTAAAGCCTAAAGGTTCAAACTTTATGTGCAGCTTTTTATAGCTTCAGAATTGTCCACATATTGTCTGATGGGTTGCGTTTTTTTAACTCATCCTTAATGACTCATTTCCTGTTTATTCTCTCTGGAAAAGAAAATTGGTAGATGTTTCTATCTGATGTAATTAAACCAAAGGAGGGGTCCTCATAAGAGGAATGTAAAAAAAATGAAGGAAATGAACTCCAGGTGGAATAAAAACCTGAAATAATGCAGACATGCACAGACCCTTCAAGTTTCCTCCTAAGCTGAATAAAACTGGAAGTGGCCTTCAGAATCCCTCCAGGACTCCAGTGTTCCCAGCCCTTCCTCTCCAGTGGCATCCGCCTCATAGAATATACAGTTTGACTAAGGAAGGAAGCTGAATGTAGAGACAGTTCAGCTGGGAGAAGGTGACCAATATTGTGATTTCCTGTCATTGCCAAAGCGGATGACATGTCAGTGAGAAAAATATATACAGACATGCAACAATGCTTGCAGGGGACAGTCAACCCAATGACAATAAAAACTATGCAGATCTATAACAGGAATTTCTTCTTGTTGCAGATTTAAAAATGTTAAAGAATGCTTCAAGATAGGCACGTGTGTTATTTCATAATTATTTAAAGGAAACAACGCATTATGTTTCACATGCCTATAGCAGTTAAGAGCAGCATGTTGTGTTAGAATTGTTAAAGTTGTCCATGCTCAAATTTATTGGAAAAATGGTTTGAGTTGATAAATAATGTTTGATTTGAAAACTGTTCTTTAAGGTCTTATTATTTGATCTTCTTCTTGCAGAAGACTATCTTACCTGCACACAACCAGAAACAGCCATGAGGAGTTTAATTCAAGGAATCTTCATCCTTTCTGCTCTCTGCTGCTCCCTAGCGGACAACGTAAGTATTAGAGGATACAAAAAAAAAATAAAAAATACATACAACAGAATTTCTAAATAATGAATATTATAGTCTGGCTCATCATGATAAATATATTTTATAAAATATTTTGGAAATGCTTGTTTTATTCATGTGATTTAAATATGTTCAGTAAACATTCAACCTTTATTCTTAACATTTCTAACAATTGAATTTGTAACAAACACCTGAACCATTTTAGAAAAAAAATATTTTCAAAATGTATGGCAGCCGCCATTGTCAGATAGCTGGGACATGTTGGTATTAAGTTGTTTGTCATAGTCAGTTCCCTGGGGCTGGACCTAAGTGTAGATGGGATCTTTTTTTCTATCATGATGATTTGAACGATTTTAATCAATTTAAAAAGGATACAAACTTGAAGCACGTTAAAAAAAAAGAGAGAAAACAACAGGAGTGACAGAAGGAATGAAACGTTTAGTCACTTACCCATTTACACGGAGAGCTTGTATGCTGGGGGAGGTGTGGAGAATGACATAGAATGTTGGTGTGTTAATCAGGAAATAATATGGAGCAGCTGAAGCAAAAGGTAAGCAGGAAATGAACTATTCAACACAGGAGCTGAACTAAGATGCAAGAAACCACTTCATCTAGGAAATAAACAAGGATATAAAAGGAAATAGCACACAGGAAGAAACTAAGCACAAAATAAACCATATGGAGATTAGGAGAAAGTAAACAGAAGTGAAAACCAAACCCTAACACCCAAAGATCATTACTGTCTGCTTTTAGTTTAACAAAATTCCCAAACAGAGGAGTTCAGTTTTTATAGGAGAGGAATTTTTCAGTGTGGTGTTTTTGTCTTTGTTTCACAATTTGCTAAATATTGTTACTTGGTAAGAGGTTTGGACTACTGGCACCAGTCCAGCACCTGAACTCTTCAGCAAGGCTCAATAGTCGAAAGAAGGTGCCAAAAGGAGGAAAAGGTGCATGTGGTATATACAGTGCATGCAGTGTGTCCACACATAAACAGCTGAAGTCTGTCATTTAACATGATTACTGCAAAGGTTTATAGACAGGGTATTAAATATGTATTTATATAAATAGGTACTTAAATATATAGCTATTTCACAGGGTATTAAATACAATAGGTTATTTCACAGGGTATTTAATAGTGATTGCACATTAGTTATTGCACAAGTTATTGCAATATTGCAGTTATAGTTCCGCATTGTAAACTCTGATGGCAGCAGGGATAAATGACCTGCGGTAGCGCTCCTTTTTACATACAGGGTGTAAAAGTCCTTCACCAAAAGAGCTGCTCAGCTCCTCTACAGTCTAGGGCAGAGAGTGAAAGGTGTTATCCATGATGGATGTCACCTCCTAATTATTAATACATTTAGTTAACTTTACAATATTTTATCACTTGTGTCTAAATATTTTTGAGGTGCATTTCTGCCTTCCATTCTATACGCATTAATCCTTGCCTGGACTCAAGGGGGGTGCTAGAGTTCATGGGGTGTGTCCATGCAACTTACAGAGAGCAGATAACCATCCACACACATCCACATTCTTTTTTTAACTGTTGAAGGAAGGACTTTTTAATGTAGAATTCTCTTTAGGAGAGATAGTTTAACATACATACATATATATATATATTTGTTTTTAATAATGAACTATTTATTTCCTTAACTGCCAAAACCATCTTTGATTGCATTTCCAGTAAATGGTCGACCATCCTCCCCACTGCTGCTCTGCATTTAACATGTTCTTTATGTCTGCAGGTGGAGGTACTTCGCACCAAGCGAGGGACCCGTTTTTACAGAGGTGAGCCTGCCAGGCAGCCAGCTAGACGGACACTGTTGATAGTTCAGCTCAAGAAGCCTTCACCTTCCTATGAAACATCCTGTGAGCCTCACCATGTTTCTGTTTCTCCTACATCACCATAATCATTGTCTTCATCATCGTCATTGTCTTTTAATCCTCCGCTATCAGTCCTCTTCCTTTTAGTTTTGTTTGTCCATGATTAGAATCAGTGGAGTGTTAACTATGTGCGTCGCCCTGTTTGATTTGCATGTCTCTCAATGTTTTTTTTATATGTGTGTGTTTCTATAGTACTGTGTGTGGATAGTGAAACATCAGCAGTGCATAGTTTTGGTGACTCTTGGCTCCGCTGGAAAGGACAGCGTGTGGAGTATTGCCACTGCCCATTAGGAGGAAGAGAGCGTTGTCATGTTGTGCCTGTCATCAGTGAGTCAAATTGAACACAAACACCAGTAGAACCATTTAACTGACTCCTCTTCCCTCCCGTCTTTCTGTTGAGCAGCCTAATGACGTGTTGGATGGTTTTTGTGTCTGTCTGCCTTCCAGCCGTCACCAAGCCATCTGCCTCCATTATAGCTCTGCCTTTACCTCTAACTTGCTGTTATAACCTCAGCTGATTATTTTTTGTTGGGCTGACTCGCTCACGTTTTCACTTCCCTGTTATTTCAGTGAATCCACATGAAGAGCCGCTGCGTTTCAGTGCGTTCCAGTTTAGTCTGAGATTATTTGAAGAGACTCCTGCCAGACCAGACTTTGTGCGTACTTTCAACCCCATTGAGAGATTCTGCGAAGCATGATTAACCCTCCCTCTGACAAATTGCAACCACATTTCCCATCTCTTATGCGGCGTTCAACCAAGCTCGAAAAATATCAAAAGGAAAACAGGATTGGATTACGATTAAAAACTGGTTTAGATAAGAAAAAAATTTTGGCATCCTATTTTATATTGAACCCCAAAATGTAGTGATAGCTGCCTCTAGTAGGAAGGGAGAAAGATCAAACCCACACTGCTTAAACCCATTGTTTTACTTCTTTTTGCACAGGCATGACAAATCACTCAGATTATGATTGTTTTAAGCTGTTGCTGTTCTAAAAAAAAATGGATGACGTGGGTCTGACTAAATGGCTCCGTCTCTGTTTTCCAGACTGCTACGTGTCCCAGTGCTACAACGGGGGAACCTGTAAGGAGGCCGTCTACTCATCGGACTACATTTGTCAGTGTCCCCCTGGCTTCAGTGGAACTCAGTGTGAGATTAGTGAGTACCCACGTGACACTGTAATCTGGGTCAGAACTGGGAACCCGCATCTTTACTCATCAGATGTAAAAAAGTGACCAAACAACTATGACAAAATCACAAATATATTAAATTTAGGTTAACAGAAAAACTTGTAAAGCTGTTAGATTCCTTGATTTTTGTAATAAACTCCATTGTGAACACAAATATGCTCAATACTGTGATGCATATGTTTATTTTTAGAATTTAGAAATTATGTAAGTGTCCAAAACTTTCGGTAAATCACACTTTTACCCCTTAACACCCGAATATATTTATATATATATATATATATATAATATTAGATTTGGCTAAATACCAACGCAAGCCATACTTTCCAGATATTTTTCTGTAAAACGGCTGAAAAACCTGCATTATTTTACTTCCTCTATTATGTTAGATCCTGATGAAACACACCGTTTGTCCTTTCAGTGTGACTTAACCTGGGAAAGTTCAAGGGGTGTGAATACTATTGCAAAAAGTTCATACGTGTATAAACGGGTGGCTATGAAGGCAAAGTTCATTAAGACTTGTTTGTGACTTTTGACAAGGTCACAGTCTGGCTATGTGACTCCACAGCTGCTGTCATGGGCCTGTGGTTTGCATAGAAAAAAAAATGAAGGATTATAAACCATGGAAAGACATTCTGGGACATGAATGTTTTGTTTTTGCGGTTTTAGGAACACCCCACCCTGGGATAATTATCCGCAGTCCAGCTGCACAGCCAAGTTAATGTGGTCGTATTGTGTATTGGGTCACTGGTTTATCCACTAATATTTTCCATATTGGAGGATTAAAGCAGTATGATATTAATGTTATCAGAAATGTTGTCACATGTTTATATGATATGCAAGAAAAAACATCCTTTTTATTATTTGTTTTAAAGTTAGTCTGAGTATGTAGAGTGTCTCCAGAAGATATACATATGACGCAGCGAGGGTGAAAATTCTTGAATAAATCTTGGTGGGTACATTAAGTTTCTCTGTCCAACAGACACCAATGAAAAATGCATCGTGGGGCAGGGTGAAGGCTACCGTGGGACCAGGAGCATCAGTCAGACCGGAGCAGAGTGCATCAACTGGAATTCAACAACTCTCAGAGGAAGAAGGTTCACAGCTCGGAAATCAGACGCCAGGAGCCTTGGGCTGGGGAATCACAACTTCTGCAGGTAAACAACAAGAAATAGCGCACATGACCCATGTATGGAGGCCTTAGTCCTCAACGCGGCCGACACGGGTTCGAATCCAACTGGTGGTCCTTTGCCACATGTCTCTCACCCTCTTTCATACCCTCTTTCCTGTCAGCCTACTGTCCAAAAAACAACCGCTAGTGCTGTAAAACAAAAAAAACTGACAAAGTGTCTCTTGTGTCATAAATCCAGAAGGTGAGAAGAGTTTGGTACTTATATATAATGAGCTGGTGACAGTTGAAGAGAAAATGTCCGATGATCCTTTCTTAGAAGACTGAAACTGTGTTTGTAAAGATGGAGAGTCTATAAGTAGAAAAGTCCTAGTTATGAATGTCTTGATTTTAAAATATTTTTAAATGTGTAATTTCTTAGAGCAAATGCCTAAATATTCTACATTTTATATTGTTTTGAACATTAATGTTCTTATTTGCAACATCTGAAAAGCCTAAAAAGGAAAATTCAGCTTAGCTGGATTTATTAATAATAAGGATTTAAGTTAAGATAAGAGATATAGGCTTTATTGCTCTCACAGTGGAGAAATTCACTTGTCACATCAATTCAATAGTCAAAAGAAGAAGCCAAAAGGAGGAAAAGGTGCATGGGGATATATACAATGCGTTCATATACGCAAATATATATATATATATGAAAAAAAGAAATAGGGAAGAGATTTAAGGTTACCTATGTACATCTAAGGTGACATATAGACTTATGGATTTGGCTTTGTACATTCAAATGGTACCAGGTAGGTTAAGGTGAGGTAGTGAGATAACTATAACAGCTGAAGTCTCTTATTTAACAGGATTATTCCACAGGGTATTAAATAGTTAGGATAGAATAGGATTTAGGTCCGTCCATAAGGTTTCCCTATATTATGTTGAGGGATTTCTGTTGGTATTATTAGACTTTTCTTTCTGATTCTTTGGAACCTAAACTTCTTTACTTTAAGTATTTCACTATTTGTGGTGGATATATGTGTACTATTATTATGCTGATTTGATTTAAAGAAGGCCAAACTAGCCTAACCATTCTCAGCACTCAGAAACTGCCGGTCAAAGAATTGATTATAAAAATAATGTTTTACCATTACTTCTGGTTGTTTAATCCTTTAAAATGTTTGCATTCAGGAACCCCGACCAGGACAGCTTGCCGTGGTGTTTTATATATAAAGGCACACAGATAGGATGGGAATACTGCTCCTTGCCCAAATGTCCTCAAGGTAAAAACAAAAAAAAAACAAAGGGAAAATTAATAAAAAAAAAAAACTTGCCAATAACATGTTTCTTGTGTTTGTTTGAGCAGATAACAACACAGAGTGTGCGGTGGGATTAGGTCAGAATTACAGAGGCACAGCTTCTGTCACCAATAGCGGCTCCACTTGTTTACCGTGGGACTCCCCTGTTGTCAGACGTAAGCTGAACAATGCTTGGAGATCCAATGCCTTAGAATTGGGGCTTAGCAACCACAATTTCTGCAGGTAAAAAGGAAACTTAAAAAAAAAAATATATTTTTTTTTTACTGAAACATTTCTGTAATGTTTAGAGATTTGATTATGAGTCTGGTTGATCAGGAATCCAGATGGCGACGAGGCTCCTTGGTGTCACACCTACAAAAACATGCTGCTGACCTGGGAGCATTGTGACATACCTAAATGTTGTGAGTGAATTTTAAGCTTTATAGGCGCCCATCATTAAAGTTGAATACTATGAAAATGTTTTCTTTTTATCAGTAATTAAATCCAAAAAGTGAAATGTATATTATATCCATTCATTACACATAGACTGATATATTTCTAGTGTTTACGTCTTATGATTTTAATGATTATAACTGACAACCAATGAATACTCAAAATTCAGATGTATTAAATCTGAAAGTTACAGGCCGAGCAATTATGCTATAGGAAACAGTTTTACAATGTACGGTTGTTTCAAGTGATTTTATTCATTCATTCATTCATTCATTCATTCATTCATTCATTCATTCATTCATTCATTCATTCAGGACATGCCCATCTAAAGAGATTGTTTTAAAAAAAAAGCTCAAAGTTAGTCTATTTAGATAAAGGCAGGCTGTTAAAGTTCCAGTAAAGTTAAACAAGCCGCACATGTTTGCCTTTGTGATGGTGGACATTTTTTTCTTCTCAGTCAACCAATTGGCTTGTTGATAACATCTAATGGTCATTTCTGAATTTAGAAAATGATTATGAGTAACTGAACCAAGATTAAAGCATGAGTTATTTCGAGCATTATTACACTGCTGAAATTCAGCAAGTATTTCTTCATCTTTTACCCCAGCAGCTGAATGTAAATATGACATCAGCAATAATGCAATAGTGCTAAATACTGTTTGTGTTTAATTACAGCAAAACGTCCGTCCGTTATTACCACTCCTGGCATACGTGCTCCAACTACTAATAACAACAATGGAGGTAACCCAAGAAGTTGTCTGAATTAAGCCTTTAGGCTATTTTTAAGCACATGTAGTGCATTGTCTTTATTTAAACTCTTGCAAACTGACTTTCTGCAGCGACATGTGGCAAGCGCTTGGATAACACCTTAAATCGTCGGGCTTTCCGCATGTTCGGAGGCAGATATAGCGACATCACAGAGCAGCCATGGCAGGCTCTCATCAATGTTTACCAGGCCCGCCTCAGGAAACACTTCCACCGCTGCGGAGGAGTCCTTATCGACTCCTGCTGGGTTCTGTCTGCTGCACACTGCTTCGAAATCAGGTACAAACTTGGGTCTCCCTATGAACTGTTTGCACACATGGAAATTAAAAATTTTAAAAATCCAATTTTTTTTCATGCATCATGTTAGAAAATTATCTTTTTCCTTTTTTTTTCAGTGACAAAGCAGACAAGTTGGAAGTCGTTTTGGGAAGAACGTTCCGGAAGCAGAATTCCAGCAGTGAGCAGATTTTTAAGGTGGAGAAGTACTGGATCCATGAGAAATTTAACTACGAAACATTTGACAATGACATTGGTGAGTAGACTTTAACTGTAGATGCTGACTTATTTTTTTTGACTTATTGTTTGATATATTTCAGAATTCTCTAAAGTATCCTCACACTGTAAAGTTAACAACTAAAGCACAAATGGCTGTTTTTCCTTAGCGATGATAATATGGAAATCTTAAGAAGGCTGTGAAGGCTCGTAAAATCTTTACCCCACATCTTCCCTAAGCATTAGTCTGACTTTCCTCTGGTCACTTTCCTCTTGCAGCTATTTTAAAGCTTCAGACGGACATTGGCATATGCGCTGTGGACTCTCCAGAGGTTCATCCAGCTTGTCTGCCGGAAAGTGGGCTGGTGCTGCCCGATTGGACCGAGTGCGAGATCTCAGGCTATGGAAAAAACTCTGAATGTAAGCAGATGTTCCCTCTAACTGGTATTTTCTTCATGGCTACCTTGGGGGAAATATTTATATAAGGGTGTTGCATAATTTCAGGTTTCTTAAACTGAAATCTTTCTCCACAGTTTCTGATGAATACTCGGAGCAAGTTAAAAGAGGACATGTGCGCCTTTGGCCCAAAGAGCGCTGCGTTCCAGAGGTGCTGTCTGGACGGACCGTTACCTCCAATATGCTGTGTGCAGGTGACACCAGAGGGCTTGATGATGCCTGCAAGGTGAGAACGACCAAAAATTCCTTTTGCTGTTCTACAGGCATGCAAAAAAAGACTCCCCCCTGAACTGTTGCTTTGTTTATCACATAACAGTTTAATTTAGCCCCTTTCAGGTCAATGATTTGTAAGGGCAGTTATCAGGTTTATATGACTATATCTCTGTCAGTTTTGCGCATCTACAGACTGAATTTCTGCCCATCACTAAGAATTTCTGAATCTGTGTCAGATTGGATGGATATTTTCAACTCTTTCAACAAATTATTGATTATTTTTAGGGCTCTACTTTAACTAGTCAATTAGAAAACATTGATATGGTTTTAATTTAGACCATTTCATTAAGCTCTGGTTAAACCTTTAACCAAGTCTGTAGTTTTATGAGCCTCTGCCAGGTTTTCCTCCAGTATTGTTTTCAACTCTACTCATTTTCCCATCAAGCCTGACCACTGCTATGTCCCTATTAAAGAAATGTATCTTCTCAGCATGACACTGCCATCACCATGTTTCATAGTGGGAAAGATGTGTTTAGTGTGATGTCAGTTTAACCCCTGTATGGAGATTGATTTATATTACAATCCTTCTGAGAACAAAACACAAGAAAAGGGAGCCTTGTTGGTTTGTTAGTAAGCATGATTATTTAAAAAGTTATAAATGGATTTAATTAAAATTTACCAGAGGTTGGCATCATGCTTAGCAACAACTCATTAGAATTAGGCAATGATCAATTTCATATGTTAGTTTTAGCTCTAGGTCTAGGTCACAATATGTGGCAAAATTTGCCTATTTCTCTGTGTTTTGCTACTTTCTACAAAAATACAAATGAATTTATATCTAACCTCAAGATATGTAATTATATTAAAGTGGTTTAAGGATTTTATTTAACGTTTTTTTGAATGTCCTCCACAGGGAGACTCCGGCGGCCCTCTCGTGTGCCGAAACAAGGACAGGATGACTCTGATGGGCGTGATTAGCTGGGGAGATGGGTGCGGGCAGAAGGATAAGCCAGGGGTCTACACACGCGTCTCCCATTACATCGACTGGATCAATGACATAATTAAAGCAAACCCTGTGTAAAGTCAGAGAAACTGTGAACAAAAGTGTTGAATGACTAATAATCACAGTGGACAAGAGGTTTATCATGAAGATAGACGTAGAAATCCACAACACCTCGTTGTTTTAAGACCGGAGGTTTGAAGTCAGCAGGACAGAAATCTAGCAGAAGTTTTGTGGAGTTCAGTGTATTGCTTTATCCTCAGTTTCTAGTCGTCGCTATTATGATCAGACTGATTATATAGACAGAAAATTTATTTTTTGTCCTTTTATTGGGGGGGACATTGTTTATTAATCCTGACATATTTCAGTCTTTACTGATAACAAAGTTTATTTTCTACCCACTGCTGCCTCAAACATGTAGAACTGGCAGTGAATCTAACAAGGACAATAGGAAGGAAGTTTATCTGTGCTTCTACTTTCTTTCTTGCAGCTTTGCTGAAAGAAATTATGAGCCTTTGGCTGATCCAAAGCACTTTTATTCCCACTACATCTTTAGAGTTTTTTTTAGCTGAGCTACATTTTAAAGAGGGTTGTTTTAAAGACGGCATTCATAGGATAACTTAAAATGATATTTCGAGTTAATATTATTAGGTGATCCTAGCAGGCAGATAAAGTTACCTGTTTTTTTAGGGATCCTAGCCCTGAATCCAAACTGAATAATCTGCTGGTACAGATTCTGCTTATTTCTGGAGAAATCTTTTTTTTTTTTTTTACTTTTCCACACCGTGTCCAAGCTGAGTACAGATAATTTCATGGAGGCATGAAGTAGGAGATCCTCAATTCAATCATCTGAGCAGAACTTTTTCTGTTTTTTTTTTTATAACATAAGACAGCGGGGTTGATCCCAGCAAGTATATTGCATGTATATTTTCTGAATATTAGTTTCCTGTGAATATTTTGTATCATAAAATTGCATACTGACTGCGAAGCCAAACTGTTTAATCTTGCTTTGTTGTGTGATAGCCTCTAAGTTGAAAGTTTTCAAATGCTTTATGAAAAAATAATATTTAAGTTTGTTTTAAAGATCCCATATTATGCTTTATTTAAAAATAAAATATTAACAATGAGGCCCGCAGAGCATGTTTTTCCTTTTGTGCAGAAAAATTCCTCTTAGATTTTTCCACGAAGCATGTACCAAAAATCTTAGTCAGCCGATAGGCTGCTACAGCTTATTTCCCCTGATGACATCATAAGGGGATTTTTTTTCAGACAGCCCGCATTAACTAAGAGTTGGAGAAAGTCAATGAGAGAGGGGGAAGATTTTTTTTTTATATGTGAATCTCATACATAGGCTTCAGAAAACATGTGACTCTTACAAAATGTTTATAATGTGAATTTTGCATAATACAGGACCTTTAAAGAAACCTGAATGTGTTTATATAGACCATTTGAATACCATATGCTATTAATAATTTATTGCTCTTGTCATTCTAACCATTTGTTAACACAGATTGTTTCAATAAAAATACTTAGAAAAAAAAGAGCTTCACTTTGATTTTTTTTTTTAGAAAACAATAGTTGGGTTCACAGGTTTTATTGTATAGTGTGTTTATAGCTACCAATTTCAAAGGTAGAAACAGAAATTATTTTAATTTTGTGTCCTTTTTCCAGCACCTTCCATACTGTTTACTAAGTTAAATTGTTCTTGTCATTTTTGCTATTTTGTTTTTTTCTTATTGTTTAATTACCTCATTGAAAGGAGTTTTTTGTTGTTGTCAATATTTGATTTTCTGGACCAAGGTGCATATGAGTTCTAGGAAGCAACATGGTGAATGAAGGGATTTAATGACGAAAATAATGAACTGTCAGCTTACCTGGTTTGAGTGTATTTGGGTTCAAGCATGCAAATATTGCCGGGTTTAAACCATCTGAGCCAAACAGACACCCTAAGATTAATATATTCATATATTTAACAGTCAAACCTTAAGTCTGTTAGGAATTAAAAGATAGTGGAACAACAGTGTCACTGAAAAGGTGCCAAACATGAAAGAAGTGCTTGCTAGTAAATTGACACAATAAGACTAAAGATTTTAACAGCCAGCATGGGCAAGCAGAATGCAATGTTTTAAGAACAGGCCGGACGAAGATTGAGTTGTTGGCCACCATGTTAAGAAGTTAATGTGGAATATTAAATATGTTGCTTTCAAATTGTAATGATAAGCATGGTGGTGGCAGTATGATGCTTAATGGGTTGGGTAGCTGTTGAATTGCACAAGGTTTTGAAAGCTACCAAGCCTAACGAAAAAAGGCACTTTAGGACCAATTAAGAAATTACCATCTTTTTGTTGCTTTCCCTTAAGTTATAAGTTTTCTTTTTTCAATTTGCTGTCAACAGAGAGTTTTCTCGCCTGCTTTTTTTTTTGAAAACATATAATAGTTTTTGATTTTCGAGCTTCCCATTTTACCCCAGCATAGATTTTTGCCTTTTAACTGGTTAAGGTTATTTAAGGACGGATTGTAGTTTCAGGATCATTTAAAAGTTATTTCACATCTGTTTTCATTTCCTGACTGCCTGTGGGACTTACATTTTGTTATTTTCATTTTTTTTTTTGTTCGCCAGTTTTTCAATTCTATTCACCTCTTCATCATTCCTCATTTCAATTTTTCTGATTTCTTGTAACCTTTCAGACAGCAGCACTATTAATTTCCTTAAAATACAGTATTGCCTTTACCGTCCTATTCCTGTGTCCTTTGTTGGCCGTCCTTTATGCATTTAATATTTGTCTCCTTCCAAATGTGTGAATAAGATCAAGCATATCTTCTTGACCTCAATCCAAACTTTTTTTTATTATCAACGGCAGTTCTCTGGTGGTGGTCTCATAAATGTTTTTAGGTAGTAGATCATATTAACTTTGAGAAGTCTACCAGACTGTGGCAGGAAAAAGTAGATGATTTTCAAATAAAAGACAAAGCAAATTAAAAATCTGTGGATTTTGTTGCTGGGAGACAGAAGCAGACAAATTAGGAATAAAATCCGTTTGATACTGATTTGACCTATTGTCTGCCTACCCATGATTCATGAAGCCCAGCAGAGGGCAGCAAATATAAGATTGATTATATCACAGGGTACTTTGTCCTAGATAGTATCCGTCCATCTTCTCCCACACAATCATGCACACACACACTAGCACCTAAGGACAATTTAGAGAAGCTAATTAACCTAACAGTCATGTTTGTTTTTTTTTGGTAGTACCCACAGATAACCCACACATGAACAGGGAGAATATGCAAACTCCATGGAGAAAGACCCTGGCAGGGAATCAAACCCAAAACCTTCTTGCTTCAAGGCAGCAGTGCTACAAACTGCACATATTGTATCCTACATTTCAGAATATGATCTCTTTCTTTTCAGGCCACTACAGGGACAGCTCCTCTAAAATGTTGAATCCAAGATAATAAATCTAATGCATTAATTTTCCTACCATAGCTTTATTGGCTCTGACTGGTTTTAACTTCCTATTTTACATTTTACTACACCGGTTTAGCAGCAGTAGGAAACACAGACCTATATTTTAACGTTATAATCCAAGGGTACCTAAAAATACAATCACTTTCGTACTTTTATATTCACCTTTACGAAGAAGTAGGTTCTCTTGCTGGCAAAACGGTATCGTCATATATAAACATTGTAAGAGCAACATGCTGAAAAACCTCTCATGATAAAAGCTAAACATTCACTGAATGTTATTTTTCTTGGAGATTGGCTGCTTTTGGCAGTTAAACTTGACCTTTTTCAGAGCTTTGTCATTTTTTTCCTGAGAAATTTTTCAAACCAACCCAACTCTATTAAAGCCAATGGATAAATCAGCATGTATTTAGAAAAGCATACCACTATCAAGATGTCAAAAATATGGCAACCCCTTAAACTTTGTAACAGTTTGCAATGTTAGTAAAAAATGCTGGAATCTTATTTGATACACCAACTCAAAGTAGAAAATATCAGAAGAACTGTAAAGTCAAGTAAAAAAATTAAGTTTTGAAACATAAAAAAATAGAAAAAAAACCATATGAAATGCACCTTACATTTTGACTTAGGCTTCTTTATCCTTATAACTAAATGAAACCAATGCAACTAGTTGCCGTCACCTATTTAATAAACACAGTACCTACCCATGATCTATATTCCATCTCATTGTAATTATTTTTCAGGTTCTCAGAGTGTTACAATAAATTTTGGTGGGTGACAACAATGTGGAGATGTTTAAATCGGTTTGTTTATAAAACAATTATGTAAATGGTAATCAGCCCTGTTCTGATCTGGGCAGCGTTCGTTCCCCCATACAACAAAGGAAAGTAGTCAGAGTAAAAAAAAAGTAAAGACACTTTGGTTAAACAGCAACATGTTATTTATAATGCTTGAGAAAAATCTGACTTGACATGGGAGTACTGTAAGCGTGTCCGGACTACAAACACCCCTCACTCAGGCATTGTGTGGCCTTGCAGGTGATACAGACTGAGTGAAAAGCTTTTTTGTCATGATTTATCTAAAGATCAGACCCAAATGCAGAAGACCAAACAGAGAGACCAGGGAAAAAGTTTAACAGGTTTATTTAGGAGATTGTGAAGAATCCAGTGTTGCTCTGAACACTGCTCAACCGAAACTGAAAGGTGAGGGGAAGACACTGCAGTTAGTTCAGGCTCGGTGGGAAATTTGATTCTCGAAATTGAAGAGGAGAAATAGATTGCTGACTCACGTTTCCAGAGAAGTTGTTGACTCTTTGATTCCAGTCTGTGTGCAGTAGTTCCAGTGTTTGTCTGATTCGGTGGAGGGCGGACAGGGTTTACCCAGAATGCGGCTGTCTGTAGGTGAATGGAGAAGCTGACTGCCACTCAGATTTCCTGCGGTACTTGAACGGGTCATAGTGGAGATGAATCCCTTGCTCAGAGTGAAGCTCAAATGATCTCTTGAGGAAAAGTTGATTCAAACCTCCAGTTTAAATCCTCAACTCAGCTTGAAGCTCAGATGATCCTTCCAGGGAGAGAAGGTCTGAAAAATCCAGTTTGCAGGATGACTTCCTGCCAACAGGCAAAGACAAAAAACAAGATTAAAACTCAGGTTGACAAGAACTCAGTTTGAGTCAGCAAAACTCAGCTTGGCTAGAGTACCCAAAACTGGCAAACAGTCTGGCGTTGAGGTAGTGGCAGTCAGCAGCTAAGAGCGCTCCCTTAATGAGGTAACTCACAGCAGGTGTGTAGGGAGGTGGACCAGAACCAGGCGCCTCCTGGTGGAGGAAGGGAGACAAATACAAAAAAAACACATACACAGACAGGAATCCAGACATTTTTAGTGAGTAAATAGCATAAATCTAAATATATATGAAATAAGAGAAATCTACATTTTCCAACCACACAGTTCAGCAAAAGCCTGTTAGTCAGCTATCAATGGAAATCTAAAACCTGCCGGACAGCGGCCCTTGAGGACCGACTTTGTGCAGGCCTGGTTTAGATCAATGAGTAAATCCCTCAGTCACAGTCCAAATTTAAACCAAACCAATAGCCTTGGGTAAGACTTAGATATGATTGTCACGTGTTATATGCCATATTTTCCTGAGCTTATGCTTTTTTGCCAGAAGGAGTAATCACATATTTCATTGTCTAGACTTCTAAATATGATAGAGACACGGCAGATGTAGAACAGCTGGAGCGATGGCAGAGAAACGGGGGTAAGTAATGTTTTAGAAAGGGTTGAATACAGATAACTCTCAGCTTTTTATGTATAAATGTATGTTAAAAAATGATGTGTCCTTTTCATTTCAGTTCACAGCCTCTTTAAGAAGGATAGCCTATATCTAAGAGGATAGATGTTTATAGTTGTTACATAAAACCTGGACCAACCCAAAAGGAATAGATTTAGCAAGGGACTTCATTATCAGTTTTAAATGGACCTTTTGCCACTTTATTACTGGATTATTGTCTCAAGCACTCAATTTGTTCCTATATCTTGATGTAAACTAGTGGGAAAAAAAACTGAAATAGAAGCTAAGAGACTCATAATGATAACAAGGAACTGAAAACACAGCATAGTGTAGATGATCTACTAAATGCAACTTCTGGGTTCAGTTATATACACATAAATACTGCAGCATCAGATAGGCACTTGCTTTTTGACCAAGGGGGTTGAGTGGTTAAACGCGGAGCCGTGTTTCTGCTCAGTTGCAGATATTTTAGGGGAGGGAGATGTGACTGCAGGTGAGTCTCTCTGCTTCTCTGTCTGCTGACAGGTAGGAAATGCAAATAGAGGCAGAGAGAGCTGCTGCCCGCTCTCAGTAGCCTATATCACACATTTTCAATCTTTGAAACCATTTGCATCCAGAGGGACTGAAACAAAGAGCTCTCCTCATGACTTGAGCTGTGAGGTCTGAGCCCACACCATAACCATGGTAAAGTAAAGGCTTTTTTCTTTTGGTCTAATTTTTTCAATGCTTCGTTAATGCTTGATGGAATAAAAGGGAAGTGAGCAGGTGTTCTCACAGACCTCGGTTGACTTTTTGTGCAATTGCTGTCAGTTAGAATTTCTTTTAAAGAGCAACATAATGAAATAATGTGATGATAGTAAGAACCCATGTGTTTGAATGTGTTACAGGCAACTTTAGAGTGATTCAGTCTGTTTGGTGTGACAAAAAGCCTCATTTCCTCACTGTGAAACAGTTTTTCATAACTCAATAGCAGGATTTTAATCTTTAATTTGATTTCAACATGATGTAAATGATAAATTATGATCACTAAAACAGATCAAACATTTACGTCTCATCATGTACTACTGCTGTCTTTATTTGTTTTTTCTTTCCAAACATATCGCTTCCTCACGATGACTTTCAGCCTCTTGTACAGTAAACCATGAAGGGAGTGGTTTTTGCAAAGTGGAAATACTATATTGTTTGATAGGAAAAAATATTGAACCTTAATTGCACAAAAGATTATGTTTCTCAATTTTCTTTTACAGTTTAGGAGGAAGTCAAATTTGTCTTATTCACAGCTTGACCAATTCACGTGATAAAGCCCACGTTTTTCAACTAAAGTAAAAGGGATATTTTTGAAGGGGTTTAACTCACATGTAACCTTGCACTACCCGTTCTTTATTAAAAACAGCTTGAAAAAGGGAGTGCCGATGAGGACTTCCGCTGGTATTACACTTGTGATAATACAGAAACACTATTTCTATTGTGTGAACGGTGAAGCATTTAAATTATGTGTCTCACCCTTGTTTGCATCAGATTTAATTTCATAGCTAGATTTTTTTTTATTTTCTTCCTACAGCACTGTGCTCTTTGAGCCACCTATACTTGTTATACTTTACACTTAAAACACTGCATAATAGAGAGGCACCATTGTAATAAAACAGCTGACATAAACCATGAGACTCTATTTAAACATGAGGAAAATTATGTTAAATAGCAGAAGGGTGATATAGTTCTCTTTCAATAGCCCACCTGCTGCTCATTTGACAGAAAGGCGACTGTTTTCTGACATGTTGAGAATGACCTGTGACTCACGCTGAAAACCATTTGTTCATCTCCACCTTTCCATTTGTCCGTAATCATTTACTCTGCACAACACTTCCCCTGTGGCCGCCTGTGGGAGAATATTCCACTTCCTTATTTCACATGAGGTGTGTAGTTAATCTGCTTCTCACGCTAATCTAATTAAAAGTGACAGATACCATATAACAAGGACATGCAATTAGTAAACAGAAGGAAAGCTAGTGCTCAAAATTTCTATAAAAGCATGGGCTCTTTAATATCTGATATTTTCTAAAAGGAGGTCCCCATCCCTTTCAACACTTTGGTAGCCAATAATGATGTCATTGTTTAAAGCTTCTGATCATTAACAGCAACTTAGATAAAGAGAAGCGCCCCACTTAATGTATTTTACAGCAGCACCTGAGACAAAATCAGATTTAGGAAGACAATTATGAATGTACCATATGCCTGAAGATGTCACATTCATGTTATTGATTATTTGCAAAGTTAAGCAAAAAAAGAAGAATGGGTCAAGCTGTCTACAAGCGAGAGGCGGGGTACACCCTGGACAGGTCACCAGTCCGTCACAGGGCAACACAGAGAAAAACAGGACAAACAACCATTCATGCACACACTAAAATCTAGGGAGAATTTAGAGAAGCCAGTTAACCAAACAGTCATGTTTTTGAACTGTGGGAAGAAGCCGGAGTACCTGGAGAGAACCCACACATGCTCAGGTAGAATATGCAAACTCCATGCAGTGGTACCCGTGGTCATTGGGGCACTTGGGCAGTGACCCCCTAAATATGAAAAGTGGTTACAGCAGATCCCGGGAAATACATCAGACATCTCGGTCCAGAACAGTGCAGTTCTAGGAACAGCAAAGATACTGCACAGAACCCTTAAGCTCCCAGGCCTCTGGTAGAGGACCCAAGCTTGGAGGAAAAAAGGGGGGGAAGGCCACCCGCAATGGGTGAGGAAGAGTTTTTTTTATATATATATATTTTTACACACATATATGTATATATATTTATATAAATACATATATACAAAAACAAGATTAAAGTTTGCAAATGTACCCAGGGAAAAAGATCTGTAGTGTTGGAGAAAGCTTCGTAATTTGTTGGAAATAAAATAGAGCGTTACTAAAGGAAGGACTGGTGAACTTCACAATATAGATAAAATCTGGAAAGTTACACAGTATCTTATTGGATTAAAACATAGATATCTGTCAAAAATGTTAACCCTGAGCAAAAATTACTGTATTGACAGAGATCCTAAATATCAGTCACCTAATACACCTTCAAAACGTTTCCCTGGATCAACGAAGGGTTCTTATCTCAGTCCTATAAAAAGTTTGTCTGCTGAACAGGTTTAAGAGAGCAGGGCTGCCTTCTTTAGTTCCACCAGTTCTGTCAAGAGAAAATGGGCCAAAAAATAGTATTGAGAGAGATTTGGGGAAGAACTCCAATCTTTCTTCTTATTTTCAAAAAAGTAAAAAAAAAAAAGTAAAATATAAAATTACCTCTCTGTCATCATTCCAGTAATCCTAATGGATGTAAATCTGGTAAAGTGTAGTTAGGTTAAATATGAATGGTTAAAAAATAGTTGTCTTTTTATATGGTTAACGAAAATATCTAGTTTATAATCTTTATAAGAAAGATTTAGAGTCACGCTTTTTTATTCCAGCTGGCCAACATGGAAACTATGATGATGTGTGCTTTTTTTCCCAAAGGACTAGAGGCAGAAATATGTCTGGAAGGGATTTAATGGAAGGGACCATCGTCTGGGGAAAAAAAACTGCTAAGACTCATTGAGGGAAACAGGATAAACAACAGTCTAAAGTAGGGAACATAAAGACAGAGGAAAGTGAATATGGGACAAACATTAGGTGAGTCTAATTCTCCATCTAAATAGAGGAAATTGTATTTTATACCACCTGTCCCGTCATCTTTTGTGGGGTCATCAAAACACTATCATGGGTAGGAAAGGAGCGACTGTTGTGCTGATTTCGGACAGTCTTTATGGCCTTATGGATGTTATTACAGGACTGAGAAACACATGGATGATGTTTCTCAAATTGAGCCTTATAAAAAATACCTAAAAAAAAAAAAGTTACACAAATGTAGTGAATGGCTCAAACTCTCTGTTAAAAAACCCAAAACTATGAAGGTGAGGATATTTGCATGTGTCGGATAGAGTAGACACAAATAAAAGACAAATGGGCTGTCCCTTTCCATCTAGTCACGCAAGGGACTGTGGGTAACCACTTAGGTCCCAGGCAGCTAGAAGAAATTCTGAAAGGTCTCCATGCTAAATGAACTATTAAGAGGAAGTATCCCGCTTCCTCTTCCTACCTCCTTCCTCACTGCCAGCACTATTTGGATGGCACTTATCATGTTGAAGGCTGTCTCACTTCCGCTTTGACCTTAATGTCCTTAATGATTTGCACTATTCAGATGCACCTTAACTAACTACTGAGAGGGAGCATGAAAGGTGAAACTAAACCTGTAAAAAGCACAGGGATGAACAGAACAATTGCAAAACAGAGCATGGGTGAACAACAAGATCTTGATACAAGATAAAGATGGAAAATTATATTATATACAATACAACAATTATATACAAAACTAGAAGTCCACAGAACTGGAACAGGTAGGGGGTTTTATGGAAATAAAACATGTTTTTCCAGTCTTAGCAGTTTTTTTTAGGTCTACTGAGGCTGATCACAGGCTAATATATTAAAGTGGCACATCCTTAGACTGAAATTCTGTATTCTAAATGATTGAAATATACACCGTATAGTAAACTTCAATGATAAAGTATGATACGGATTGCCATGAGTGGAGCTCCGTTTCTTTTAGGCGTCAAAAAATATATTAAAATTTTTTTGTTCCTGGAAGCTGTTAAAACTACTTAATTTTGAAATATATAAAGAATGTTAATACTCTACCACACTGGTCATACCAAAAAGCAACTTATTCATGTGTTTGTGTTCCATAATAACCAATTGCACACCATGCTCAAAAAGCAGCAGGCTGGTCAATGAAGCAGATAAATAAATAAAACTAACTTTGTAAACTACTTCTCCAGGCTTAACCTTAGAGAAATTGATAATTTACTGTATAGTAATTAATTACTTAATCTCTGGTGTTTTCAGAGTTTTCTTGGAAAACTGAAGAACCGGTAAGTACAAAGGAACATACCACTTCTAGATTCATCATGCATTCCTGCACCATGTGTAGGTTGAGTCTCTTTTTTTCCTCTCTTTTGAAACACAGTGGACCTCCAGCCCCTCCAAGGAGAACAGGTAAGATATACATTCAAATAATACAAATATACACTTAATTTTTCATTTTTCTGTGTTTATGCTTGGGGATCTTTATGTGTTTCAGACAACAACGCAGGGTTTCAATGGCCACAAGATGAATTTGTAAGTCTAATATTCCATGATTCATCTCGGCATAAATGCTAATATTCTTATTTTAAAACATGCATCCTGCAAAGCTTGTACGATTAAATACTCTATAAGAAGGATGATTTGTTTTTCGATTATCCATGGGTTTGAGGTTGGCGAGCCAAGATGACATGGATTTACTCCACTCCAGCCAGCAATGAGGTTAAAAAGTTTAGATTTCAGTCTCTGACACTGATTGTCTCTGAGCAGGATGATGAAGACGGGGACATGTATGAAGTTCCTCCCTGTGAGCGTCAGCCTGTCAAGGTCCCACAGACACAAGTGCAGGAAAACATTTACTTAGGTAAAAATCTCAACATGGAAAATTGTTTACACTCCCTTACACTCCAACCTTTTGTTGACACGATTTCACATAACAAGCGTAAATATCAATGCTTCTTATTGGTTTTTACCCCCTTGGCCTACACAAAGTAGTGCATAACTGTTTATTAAAAGAAAAATGACATAAGTACACTTTTAATGTCTTTCATTACGAGTTGAAAAGTTTGGCTTGCATTTGTATTCAGTCCCTGTTGTCTCATGTTGTTTCGCAGTCAAACAAAAGGGAGGAGAGAAATTTGAGACAAACATGATGAGGATTTTGTGATAATGTCAAAAGAAACTCACAGGAAAAACAAAATGGAAACTGGACATAAAGCATGGGTAGAGTATTAGGCCATGAAGCCACAGCAACCGAAGAGCAAGCAGACAAATGGATGGTAATGGATGATCCAACACAGAGCAATCAATAGCAGTAAACTTAATACTGAGGGGAGAATGGAGAATGACATCATATAGGTGAGTTAATCAGTGGGTAATGTGGAACAGCAGAGGCAGAAGAGAAGCAGGGAAACTAAGAGAAAGTTACTAATTAAACACATAGGAAGCTAAAATGTAACACAAAAATAATCTTCTAACAAAGGGGAAAATACGAATACCAGTAAACCAGTAACCGAAACCAGCTACCGGTTACTTTACTTTACTGATTAGCTACTCATCAGCGTATTGTTCAACCTTGGGGAGGGATGGGGTATGCCTTTCATCACTATAATGTCACACTCATTTGGCTTACATCATTGGAAATGCTCGAAGTTCAAGTCCAACAACTCAGTGTACTTGGGTCAGAGGCAAGTCATTACTCTCAACTTTGACTTTATGTATTTTAGGAATTTGTGGATGGGCAAGCAGCTAGCGGGAGGAAAGCAGAAGAAACAGGGAATATCCATGTAAGTGGAGAGAACAAATACCTGGTGGCAGACAGCTGAAAGAGAAAGTGCTGAGAACTGAAAAACAAAGATGGAAGGTTAGAAAAAGGGAGGCTAAAATATATCAATGAGTTCAATGAAAAGGAAAACAGAAGCGAGAAGAACCTTTTCATAATGATGTTTCTAATTTGTCAGTAATATTCATAGAAACATATTTATTGTAGTGCTCAGGGTTTTATTCCTTTTAACCAAATAGTTAAGAAAAAACGTTTTCAAGCAAAAATGTTTTGATGAGTGATTTACATTTTGCGATAGTTTTTGCAGTGCTCTGTCATTTTATTTGTTTTAAATCAATATGCTTACAATATGTTTCTTCAGTACTGCTAAGATAATAAAGTAACAGTATTATTAATACAAAAATCAAATTTTAAATGGAATTAGGCACACTTTCTTAATTTAGGCTAAAAGTAAATGTATATATTTAGGTTCATAAAAGGAGTACATATAAAGGGAAAAAAAAATAATAAAAGGTGATATTTAACATTAATCAGCATTGAAGTCTACTAATAATTACAGATAACGGGAAAAAAACGTAAAAAAAAAAATAAGAACAAACAAATACAAAATAAAGATATTTTAAAGGTGACTTATGGTGATGACACAAACAAAATAATATCTGAAACATATTTTATAAAACAGAAAAAAACAAAAGTGGGAGGTACTTTGCAGCCAAGACCTTAGAATATAATGATATGCCTTAAGATTCTTATCTTAAGAACATTTATTTTCTGTTTTTCAGAAATAACGCTTGTTTAATCCAAATTCTAAAGAATCAGTAGAACCAGTGGAAGATGGTGTTCTGATGAGATGAGACCAAAATGGAACTGCTGATCCTCATGCAAACATTATCACCATTACATTTGGCCATTTAATTATGTTACTAATGAATATGGAAATGTCTGAAAACTGAAAGACGTCAGGGGTCATAATGGTGGTTAAGATTAAATCACTATATTAGAATGACACAGTCAAACATATGACTAAAACGTATTATGTTCATGTATGTTTGATTCAGCCTGAACCGTACTTTCCACACTTTTCTGCCACTTGAAATGGCTTTAAAGTACTTTGAAGTATATTGTATATATATATATTGTTGTTGTTTTTCAGAAAGGACATCTCGCAATGAAGTCCCCCCTCCTCCCAGACCGTCCAAATCCTCGGTAAAAACAGTCTTGAAAATATGTCTTTTTGTCTCTGAACCTTTCCCAAGATATTCCTTTTAGCTGTGCTTAAATGTTCTCACCTTTTCTATTCAGATACCACAAAGCGCAGGAAAACGTAAGTTGTTTTCATTGTTTTTTATTTAGTGCTCAACTTTTTTCTTAAAGTTAAATACATGTTTTGTCCCTCCAGCTCCAGAAATAGACAGAAATGAGAAGCCTGGAAGGAGAAAGATGCCTGATCCTCCAGCCCGCCCTGCTCCCGCGCCAGCTCCTTTACCTGAGGAAGGTGAAATAATACAATAATACTACAGTCATAGGTCAAAATCATTGAATGAAACCTTATATGAATATTTTAATGAACTTTCATACCAGCGTTAAAGGTTTCCTCCCGTCTGTGTTTTAAGTGGTATTTAGAGAAGATGAACAGATAAACCCAAAGCTGACATGTTTAGTGTAATATTCCGTTAAGCAACATATTTTCCTTTGGTAAAATAAAGGAGAACAATCAAGCAGCCCTTAAACAAAGTAGACAGCACCCCCTTCTGAAGTACCTCTCAGGTTACAAATTGGGAGCTTCAGAACATTTTTAAATATCCATATAAGCAAGAATAGACGAGACTTCCATTGTTTTAACAAATACATATATATTTACCATTGAAAACTTTGAACTCAAACCTAAAAATATTTATTTATTTCATAAAAATATGAGGTATAAAAAAAGCTGCTCTTGTAAAAAAAAGCCTAAGTACTTCTGTCTAACAAGAATAATTATTAATATTAAATCCTCTTGTTTTGCTTCATTTGAGTAAAATATATAAATATCTAATATTGCAGTTTAATTAAATCTCTAAACCATTTCATAAGCATTAATTAGACAAGGATCCCGTTTTTATCCAAATGATTTATTGTGCCGTGAATAGGTGTTTGCTCCTTAATTGGTTTTTGTCAAATTTGCTGCATACTGAAAGGCTAAATGTGGGGATTCAGATATGAACAAATATTGCCAATATTGCCAACAACAGTATGTAGTATCTGACAGTGACTTTTTTCCTATCACTGTGGAGAAATCTCAGTCCACTGTTCCTGCAGAGCGGCTTTAATACGCCTGCAGTTCATCATTGTATCACTGTCCTGCTGCAAACACTGAGCAAATTCCCAAAGTCCCAAACCTCCAAACTAAAATCACCTGTCAGTATCATGCTCTTGGAGTTTACAGCAGATGTAGTAAAACACATATCTTTGAAAACTTCCTCCTTTTTTACGTCCCTTAAGAGATTTTTTTATCTTACAGATCCTTAAGGTTTGTTTTTCTTTTTGTTTCTTTATGGTCAGCAGTGATTTTTGTCCTTGGATTTTTCTCATAGATCCCATTTTTTGTCCAATATCCTTCTTGTTGTTGAATCATAAATACATATTTTAACTAAGGCAGATTAGGTGTAGAGTTATTCAAATGTACGTTTTGGGGTCCTATTTACCTGCAGGATGAGGTGTCAGTATATTTTTGGATTCATTTTAATAGGATATCAACTCTTGGGAGTATTGTCTTTTGTTCCCTGTTGTTTTTAGATTAGTTCATAATATTGTTTACCCAACAATTATTTGTTAGGCTGCCTGTTTAGATATTTTAGCTTTGTTACTTCATAGATTTTATTCGGCAGTAAGTTATGTCATGATACAGCAAGGGGAGGCACAGGCAGTCGTAATTTTCACATTGGACCAGAATCACTTAGTTTATTGCCTTAACAAATGAGATTAATATGAGGGGAAAAAATATTGCCTCTTAGTTTATCTTTGATCTTAAATGGTACTTGAAAATTTGATACATTTAAATTTGATGAGAAGTGGGAAAAAAGCAGGAATTTTTTTGGGAGCAAATACATTTTTACTAATTTTGCCAAAGACTGTAATCTTTTTTTTTCTGTTGTGTTACAATTTTTACAAATTTATTTTAAACTAGAGGATCTTATTGGTAGTAATTGAGAACATTGATTTATTTTCAGAGTGGAAGTCTCCAAAGTGTGGCCATTTGTGGCCCTTGGAGGAAATTTAGGTGGTCCATGATTACAGTTCAAGAACAGTTAAGATTTAAGTTTGCCATTTCAGATAAACATTAACAAAATACTAGAGTGTAATTTTTTCCATACCTAAAATATACACAAAATTAAAATCCTCTTGAATTGGATCTGTTCTTTGTGTTTGTTGATATAGTCAATTTTGAAAACTGAATGAAAACTAAATAAAAAGTCTTTAAAAAGAAAGAAACCTCGTAAAATGGAAAATGTAAGGAGCAATAGATTATTTGACCTTTTTATCAGTCATATTTTTTATTTTAGCTTTATTCAATTGCACGTAGGACAACAAACTGTTGTCAGGGACTTTTACTAAATAACACATCTTGGATGGGCCCAGATTTTAAAGTAAAAAGAAATAAAGCAAGATTGTGCCATGCCCTTGCTTGCTGTATAAGACACAAAGAAATATAGTACAAACTTGTATAGCTTTGTTTTTTTTTTTTTTTTGTAACCAGGCAAACCTGCAAGACTCATATTTCAGATTATGTTTTAAACTACTAACTAAAATATCATGCTTAGTTTTAACTTTTGTACCAGATATGTAAATTAAAATGGCCACTTTATCACTGGCAGTGTTTCCATTTTTTTCTTTTAGATGTTTATCTGGATCCAAATGTGGAAGAGGTGAGCTTATACTCATAATTTAAAACATGTCACTCATGCAAACATATGAAGGTATCCTAGACAGTTGTTTAGATCTTACCATGCTGTTCACTTTCACTTTAAAAGATGAGAACTTACTTTAGAATTTGCACTCTTGATGTGATAAATCAATGTATAAACATAATAATTTCAATAGGGAATCAATTCAGGCTGACTCACTTTATTCCTCCTATAAAGTTTGAGTCAATTTTCAGTTCAAACCGTTTGGTTGGGGTATTTTACTCTTCATCTATTGTTAAACTGACATTAAATATTCATGCATACAAATGTTAGGAAAACAGATGGACTTTCAGTGGCTGTTCTAATTTTTCCCCATCTGCTGCTTCATATGCAATAGTCCACATTACACTGATTATCATCCACACAGGGCTGAATAACCACTAAAGCATACAAAAATGTATTTAACCAAAACTAAAAGAAAAGAAAATAGAAATATGAAACTGTTCATGACTTTTTTTTCAGGAAGATAGTGATGACGTGTATTTGGAGCCAGAAGCATGTATGTGGCATCACAGCAATGTTTGACCCTATTATAGCACCCAGAATATTTCTTACTCACATTTAGTAACAGAAAACCTGTTAGTAAAAAGATAATGACCGTTTCTTTTCTCCTATTCTTCAGCCTGCCCTCCTGCCCCAATCAGAGGGATTTCATCACCAAAGCTTCCTCCTCCAAAGCCCATGTAATCATGCTTTCCATTCAAGTCTGTGAAGTTCTTTACTCCTGTTTCTAGAGTGAGGTTTAGGGGTGGTTGTGCGTGTCTGGTGGGGTATTAGGAAAGAAAATTCAGCTAGGTAAATGTCTGTTACTTCATATTTTGTGTGCAAGTAGGACAGAAATCCTTTGGAAATCTCAAAAAAAGAGGAATCTGGGAACAGTGCAGAAACCCTTAATCTTAAATCTAAATACTAAATACTTAAAACTAAATATCATTTTCACTCTACCTACAGGATGAAACCACCAGTACCAAGAGCTGTGACTGTAAGTGTACAATACTTTTCTTGTTTGAATACTGAACACTGTCCTAAAATAGTAACACAAGTAAAATAGCTACTGAACAAAGAATAATCCTTCAATATTCTGATTCAATAAATGGTGACATCATCTTCTCTTTTAGCAACCATCATTTCCTGCTATTCACGACTTGAAGACCTGTGAGTTGCATATTAACTAGTGAAAACAACCAAACTGGAGCGATAAAGAAGCAATAATATTTCACCTGTGTGTTTTACAGCTGAAGACAGACGTGCCAGTCTTCCCAGTCAGAAAGCGCTGCGAACCCGTGCTTCAAATCCCTGTTTGCCTCCAGATCTGGTACCACCCAAACCTATGTAAGAGAACTTTCAATATAGGCTATTTAAAGTGGAGGAATTGCCTTCATTTCCACTTTATTTCTCTGGTTAACCTTTTATTTAGTTTATGCATGAATAAAACTAAACTAATCTGTCAAAATCTTCTTTACAGACCTTCTTTCTCTCCAATGGGAGACTACAAACCTGGGGGTGAGTTCAGATCTTCTTGTCTCTGGTTTCATTGGTGTGGGTGGGATTCTAATTTTGGATCGTTTTGAGCAATGCTTACATATTTAACATTTTCGCATTATTAAACCTGTTTTTAGGTGGCAGCAGACTGACAAAACTGTCTGGGAATGAGGTAATGTGTCAATCTTTATTAAAAAAAAAAATTCTACTGGAAGCTCTGAGGCTTCATTTGCAAAAATAAAGTCAGATTTGTATCTAAACTCAATTTAAGTCAGTATGCATACATGTTCGATTATGAATCTGAGAGGCTCATTTTCTGCTTCAGATTCTCTTTTGTATCATCTGTTGTTCTGCAATATTGATGCAACAACTGTCTTAAAAACGTTGTTTTAAATAATATGACAACTATCATTTCTAGTAATATATGCATTTCGGTATTTTACTTTATGATACCGGAAATTGTAATATTAGTCCTGCACTTTTTAGTTTTTAGTTAATAAAAATTGGAAAAAAAGAGTACTGCGATGGTAATATTCATCTTTACAATGAAATCCCAATAAAATATGTTAAGGCTTGTGGGTATAATATAAAGAAATGTGATAAAATGGACAACCGGCTATATGAGACTGGGTTGTAATCATATAGCTGGTTCTCCATTTTATCACATTTCTTTATATTATACCCACAAGCCTTAACATATTTTATTGGGATTTCATTGTAAAGATGAAACCAAAGGCGTTTATGCAACAAAAGCACAAAAGTTTGCAGGAAATGTTTTTTGTAAACAAAAACATTAAGACTTTTTTATAACAGAAAAAATTAAAAAACAAATTGAAGCCTGAAAGAACTATAAATAAACGCTACTTATGGAGAACAAAGGAGGAGGTTAAAATATTTACCCACCACCTGCATAAGTATTGAACATCCAGTCCTTTAATATGTCCTATTATAAAGAGTCATTCTGTGCTTTTGATGTGAACCATAGTAGAACGGCCCAGAATGTGGACATCTATCTTGTTCAGAGAAATAAAGCTGTGAAGTGGGGAAAGATATATGAGACTTGGTCTTAAATGAATATTAAGTGTACAGCTTTTGACTTGCTTTGTGCATTCCATACACCCCAGGATAAGGAATGGTTTGCTGGAGACTGCAACAGACAGACAGCTGAGAGCCTCTTAAACAGAGTCAGGAAGGTAAGCCCAAAGTGATCACTTCCTCTGTTGAAAAACAAAAGAGCTGCATAGTTTCACTTACAGTTTAGGTCTGCTATAAATGCATTACACTTTTTAAAAATGCATTTTAGACACAGCAGATCATTTGAAGCCACACCTCTTTGAAATGGAAATATATAACATCTGAATGATAATGTAGCAAGAGTAACAGTTCAGTAGTTTTCCTCAGCAAAAAAAGGCCTTATTAGGAGGTGCGGATGTGTTGAATGACTTGGTTGTGGCCATTTGATGGTGGCACAAAAAACAAAGATGAAGTGAGCGTTTCTGGTTTCCCAAAGCATCCATCTATTTAGAAAATGGGAGATTTGTGGAAGTGACTATAAGCCTATTTTTTGCCCGTATGTGATGAAAAGAAACAGCATTTGGCTTGAAAGAATGAATATAAGTACTGAACTTTTCTTATCATATTTCTTGACTTTAAAGTATGAAATGATTTTACCTGTGGTGAACTTCAAGCCTGAAAACAAGTAAAACTGGAACAGTTATAAAAATGGTGATATATTACAGCCAGCCCTAATTCTCTTATGATGAACTCAGGGGTTTTGAGTTTGTTTTCCAATTCCAGAAATTACTTTAAGAACGTTTTTTACACGACTCTATTTTCTTTCTTGAAAGCATTTTTAATCTTTTTTAGGATGGTGCCTTCCTCATTCGCTACAGCTCTGACAAACGCCCTCAACAGCCGTACACCCTCGCTGTTCTCTACCAGCAGAAGGTCTACAACATTCCCATCCGTTTTATCGAAGAATCACAGGGATACGCACTTGGAAAGGAGGGCAAGAAGAATGAAGAGGTGAGGCTGAAGAAAAAGTGAGATGTTTGATGAATACAGAAAAAGATGAGATGTTGGTGTCCGAGAGAGAAGAATCCTCTGGATGCACAATCTGATTCTACAACTTACTGACTAAAGGGGGATGAATGCCAATGCATGGCATATCGCTTACATTTTTATTTGAAAAAGTATTTGAAGACAACAGCTCATTCCTCTCCCCTTTAAATGTGTTTTCCTCATGTAAAATCCCACTAAAACACGTTGAGGTTTTTGACAATATGACAATATTTTAAGTTAAATATAAAAAGCTAAGCTGTTGTAATTGAACTCCAGCATTTTGAATTCATTGCTTGTCCTTTTCTTCCCCTTTCTCGTAGGTGTTTAGCAGTCTGGATGAGATGATATCTTATCATAAGAATAACCAAATACTTCTGATTGACAGCAAGAGCCAGGCCAAGCACACAGCAAACCTAACACAGCCAGTGCGACTTTGAAACTACACTAATGACATGCTTTGTTGGAATCTGAAATAAGGCAAAAACTGGGACTTTTTTTTATGAAAACAATGAAATTTAACTTGTGTTCTTTCCATTTCTTTCTATTTTGTTCAAGTTTGTTCATATTTTACTACTGTTGATGGGTGTAAACACTACAAACACTATGATAAGATATTTTTGTGTTTTTTTTCTCCGTTTTCCAAGCTTTGCTACTGATGTATCCTAGTGAGTGTAGCTGGTCTCCTGGATGGAACTGTAGAAGCTGGTGGCTCAACCTGCTTCCTCTCATGGTGAAAAAAAATCTCCTTTGGGTTCAAACCATGAATCTGTAACCTGGAGTATCAGACGGTAGAACAACAAATGTGTGGTATTTACTTTTTTGTGCTTAAACAAAAATATTTTCAGTCTCACACCTCTCCTGTCATCTACAAACGTGCTAAGATTGAATTAATTGTATCTTTAGATGAAAATCAGACTTTGCAAGCTTTTAATCCATTTTTCTTTTACATATTGCTTTGTTTGTGCAGAGCGTGCTGTATAACATGCAAAAACCTGTGCTGATTTAGCAGTGAAATTTGCATGAATAAGATGTGCAAAAGAGAACAGAATTACTTCCTGGAGTCATTTATGCATTGGCATGCGGGTGTGTGGTGTCTTGTACAAGAGCTTCACAGAGATCTAATAATAATATGAACCTAAACCACAATTCAGTAAACTGCAGCAGAGTTTTATTAAGTTACAGATAATTTACCGGTAACTCAACCCCAGTAAAGTTGACTTTTAGGTCTGTAGAGGCCAAAAAATAAAGATATTTTCACATTTTTTCTTTATTTATAAGCTGTATTGTAACTGAAGAATTTTTGGAAAGATTATCATTTAAAAATGTTAACTATTCAAAGTTAACTATACTCTATTGGATCGTGGGCCAGGCTTAATCTTGTTACAGCTATGTTATGTTTACACAATTTTATTTCCTTTTTTTTTTGCCATAGGTTTGTTCTTTGCTTAAAACAATTTCAGTTTCTTACTTTCTTTTTATCCATCCATCCATTTTCTGACACACTATCCAAAGTGGGGTCACAAGGGGTGCCTATCTGCAGCTGTCTAGGGGCGAGAGGCAGGATACAGCCTGGACAGATAGCCAGTCCATCACAGGGCAACACAGAGACAAACAACCATTCACACACTCACACCTAAGGAGAATTTAGAGAGGCCAATTAACCTAACAGCTCTGGATTTTGGACTGTGTGAAGAGACCAGAGTACCCGGAAAGAACCCATGCATGTTCAGGGAGAACATGCAAACTCCATGCAGAAAGTCCCCGGACCTTCTTGCTGCAAGGCAGCAGTGCTACCCACTGCAGCCTACTTTCTTTTTATATCAAAGATTAAAATGAAACAAGATATATGTTTTTCTAGAAGAGTTGGTAAAAAAAAATATTTTGCCAGTTTTGTGCACATAAAATGAAAAGATTCTGTCACGAACAATTTAATTTTTATCCTTCAGAGTAAAATCTGCCATTTAAAATGGATTTGATGAACACAACCATTTCTCTAAACAATGGTCAGATATAAGGGCTGGACAGAAAATGCATAAAACATTCAATCTACGAGGAACAACTGTAGGATGGTTTGAAAAAACAATGTATACTAAAAATAACTGAGTCATGATCAAACATAGAAAAGGTAGAAGCTTTAAAATCTTAACACATACAAACGGCGCCCTCCTTTGGTGCCTCTTGCCTCTAGCCGGCAAAGACCTGGTTTTCTCTGCTGCATAGGCTTTGCTCCGGCTTGCCAATGTGCCTTTGAGATTTGGTTGTGGATTTGATTTTCAAGGCATATGCTTTGCTGGACCCATAGCAGCTTGTGGGAGTGAGGTGTCCCTGTATGAGGGGCATCTCTAACTAGCTTGCTGCCATGACTGGGGTTTCTTTTTAAATTACATAATTTGACAAATCTTGAATGGTGATGAGTCTATCCAAAGTTGGCGGGCGAACCATCGATGCAGACTTCAGGACCATGGAATCCATCCTCCCCACCTCCATCATGCTGCAGGCACTGAAGGATAAGACCAGGCTGCAGCGCATCATCCATCCTGCTGAGAGGGTGATTGGCTGCAAGCTTTCAAGACTGCAGGAACTGTATGCCTCCAAGATCTTAAGGCGTGTAAATAAAACCATCTTCTTCTTCTTTCTGAAAAGAGGTTCCTGACTAAAACCTCATCCCATTAAAACAGTTATTTCCCTCTGATGTTTCTCTCATGAACAGTGTGTAAACTCTGCCTTGGAGACCATTAACCCTAAAAAAATCACTTATTTACATTTTTTCTTGTCTTTTTTAATTAAAATGCAAGCCACACCAAGTCAAATTTCCCAGTGTGTTAAACGTACCTATCAATAAACATAGTGTACATTCTGATTCTTCCAATGACCCTGTGAACTTTGCTGGTCTCCATGATGCTGCTTGTTTACTGATGTTCACAAACTAAAAGCAATTTGATTTCTATATCAATTAGGTAACTTTTTAAGACTATAGTTTGCACGGGATGTCATTTAGGAGTATAAAAATTAGACAGACATACCACTTATTTAATATATTGTTTAAATAAATAAACTATTCCTTCATAATGGACCATTTTGTGTTGGTGTATAACATAAATATATTTTAGTTAATTTTTGTAAACTCACAAAATATGAAATCATGAAAAGGTTTAGCAATCTCTTTCAAAACACAGAAAGATATTCAATTATAACTTTACAACTGCCACTAAAAACAGAATTGTTAAATTTAAAGTTGGTGAAATGGGAAGGGGGAAGGGGTCTTGGCGGAAGGATACGAGCTACACATTAAACGGGATGAATCCAGTTATATGGAAGAGAAATACGCAAAAAAATGCTAAGTCATGACTTATAATGAGTCGGTAATGGTTTTTGGGTCAAGTCTGTAAACTTAAATGGGTCCAAACTGAGCTGGTTTGGTTCAGTTACTAGGTAGTGTGGACTATTTTTCTAAGCGGAGGAGCGGGTATTTTGATTCAGCGCTGGTGTTGAGGAGGAGGGGGGGCTCCTGAATGGGAGCAGTTACTGGATTCACTTGATACCACCCAGGATCCACTCTACCGCCCATCGTTTTGGTTTTTCTGGGGGCACAAAAACAGAAGCCGGTTAGCTCTTTTCCTTTGGTTATTCCCCCCCGTCCCCTCTCCTTCTTCACGGACTCTCCGGGCTCATAAAATTACCCAGAAATGGCTCAGATATTACCGATACGATTCCAGGAGCACCTCCAGGTAAGCATCCAGTGAGGAAAAAAATAAACCCTCCAGTTAATTAGGGCTCCTTTGTTTTTGTTTTTTGGTTTGCCTCGCTCTTGTGTGGTGTTCCCTCCGCACCATGGCTGCACATGTCGCATTTAAATGGGGTCTGAAATTGGGCTGCAGGGTGGTGCTCAATATAGCTACAGGCCTGGTTTTCTCCTGCCGTCCAGAGGATGACTGGTAGAAATTGAACGGGCAGGTTAGACATGGCTTCAGTGCGGACCGCTGCTTTCAAATTAAGAAAATACCCGATGTCATTTTCTTTTCTTTTTTTTGTAGACTATGCGGCGTTTTAAACGTCCTCCCTCTTTTGTTTTACCGCCTGCTTTGAGCTCAGCTGTTCAGGTTACCGCTGTAACTGAGACCCTGAATGGCAGTGGATGTTACAGATGCAATTTTAAATTCAACCCAATGTGAGTAAATTTCTGGCTAAAGAACGTTTTCTTTTCTTCTTCTTCTTCTTTTTTTCGTGGACAGTTGTGCCCAATTTTCTTAGCAGGTGTGTGCAGAAGTCGATTCTGTGATTTTGCACCAGCACTGCCTCACTTCTCTGCATTCAAACTTGCAGGATGCAAAGCTTTCTGGGCCCCTTGTCCAGAGGCGTAGCCAGAACATTTTAATAAGGGTGGCCAGGCAATAACCAATGTACACTGAGGGGGGGCCGAAAGCAAATAGGTGCCAGAACTTCAGGGTCAATTTACTCTGTTCCAACAGCAAAATGAACAAGCAAAACTATATTTTCTAAATAAAGACTGACTATACTTTCCTAACAAATAGACACATATATTTAAACATCCATGTTGTGTAAATTAAAGGTGTAGGGGACAAAATTATTTCATCTTTGAGTTCTGGTGTTAACATCTTATTCATTGTTATTACTAACAATGCTTTTATCAGTAATTGTTCTGCATAAAATTAGTAATTACATGTACTTATGTCTAAATGAAATGGATTATTATTAAGGTAGTTATATCTCTAATTTCACTGAAGACTCAGAGGTGACTTGAATAGACAGTTTTCTCTTCACCCCTTAAGACAAAATGTAGTTGTGAAAAGAGCATGAATTCTGTATTTATCATCTTTAATGTTAGTATGTTCATGAGCATAATTAACCAAAGGTTTTTTTTTTTTTAATAATTGTTAATATATGAAGAATTAAAATGTTAAGTTAGAACATTCCACTGCCACTGTCTGTATTAGAGGGAAGAAATGGTAGGGGTGGCCACAGGGGTGGCCAATGATTGGCTAAGGGTGGCCATGGCCACCCCTGGCCCCCCATCTAGCTCCGCCCTGGCCGTTGTCCTGTAAACTGTGCATTACATTTTGGTTAGATATTTTTTTTACCATTTCCTACAACTTTTTCAATATTTAAACCTCCTAAACACTCACCTCAGTCTATTTTATTTGATTTGTTTTGTCTGCTAAACCAACATAAGCTTCATAATGAACTATAAGAAAACATTTTTGGCATGGTTTCAATTTCTAAGAATCTGAAAAGTGCGGCTTGCATTTGTATTTTACTTGATTTGTTCTGGAACCCTTAAAGGTATACTGGAGGATTTTTGCGAATTTTTGAAAAGACCCGCCCTCTCCACAAAAAAAAAGATAATGCACATGCACAATCCTGTACCCGCTCCCGAGAGGGAACGCTTATTTAATGCGTGCAAGGGCGGGCACAAGCACATTTCTCCTTGTGCCCGCTCTGTTTAAAAGTTGCTGTTTGCATTGTTCCCACAAGCTTACTTTCCAAAAGATTTGCAATTTTTCCACTGTCAGACTCACCACTGGTTAGTGAAAATGGGGACAAGCAATAGGACGTTCTTATGTAAACGTATCACCAGAATGATTGACAAATTAGGAGGACCACTTATTTTGATGAATCACCCGGAAAAACATCCTCCACTGTACTTCTAAAGATTCTGCTGTAACTAATTGTCTTTAGAGTTCCTTGGTTGCACAACTGTTAACCAACATATAGAACAGAAAACAAATGTCAGCTTGTACAAATACACCAAAAGTACATCAAAAACTTTTATTTTGGGTGAATATCTGCAGTTTTTTTTCTTACATGTATGTTAAAAATGCTCATTGGTACTATATAGGGACAATGACTCAAAAAGGAAGTTATAATGTCTGTTTTTGTGTAATATATCAGAGCCCAGAAACACCTAAATCTGCTGAGATGTGTTAACAAGCCATTAACCTGATTTCAGTGCATTGGAGAAGTGACACATCATAAAGGGTTCATTGTGGTGACATCAGGTTATTGACGGCTAGATGTGACTTTCTTACAGCATAACATATGCAAATGGTTCATAATCGATAAAGCTTCACCCAGTTTTATATTTTATTTTTATAAATGTATGTAAGTTTGACCTAATATAGGATTCTGTAAATATTAATTTGTGATATTTAATATATTTGCTTAAAATATACTAAAATTACTTGTAACTGAAGGCAAAAAATATGAATAGGCTAATTAAGCATTGAGTAACAATTCAGTTTGTTTATATCGTGACAATTAACATATGTCATCTCTAGGCACTTTACAGAGACAATTCAAGATGGTTCAAATTTTTCTGTCCAAGGAAAACCAGCTGATTGCTTCGACCAGTCACAATTTACTCAAACAGGCTCCCTGACTTTCCTCTTTGTATGCTTTGAATGAGATTTTGTTGGTTTAGTTAAACATAGACCTACGTAAATTTGTTTAAAGAAAACGGCATGTTTTACATGGTCTTTTGCATCATATGTACACCCTTTTAAGAGGGAAATAGACATGCAGCACCGCTGAATGGGCACTGTTTAATGATAACGTAAGGAGCTCATCCAATATTTATATTTTCAAAACAGAACCACAGCAAATGTATTTTGTAAGTCTTACCAAACAAATGACTCAAATTGCAACATTAAATATGCGTTTCTGGAATGCCTCAGTCATGATTGTTTTTCTTACAACTATCATCGCCTGACTAAGCTTAAGGGGAATTGTCCTCTACTGGCTGGTGGCCATATTACAACCCTGAAAGATTTTCCATCTAAGGCTACGTTCACATTGCAGCCTGAAGTGGCCCAAATCCGACAGGTTATGCGGCCAAAACCTGGATCTGATCTTTTCATGGCGGTCTGAAAAACACAGATCCAATTTTTTTCCAATCCGACCCAGGCCACTTGGCTATGTGGTCCTTAATCCGATATGATCTTGTCAAATGCGACCTGTGTCTGAACAGCCAGGTCGCATTCATCCGACCTGAACGTCATTAATACCCGACAAAGGTCACTATTCTGCGTCTTGCTATGCAGAAGGGGCAAGAAAAACAACAATTATGGCAGATGATGATGCGGAGAGCAGTATTTATGTTTGACCATATTGAAAAGATTGAGTTTTTATGGTTGGAAAAGACCGCTAGATTTGCGCCGGCACTACCATCCATGTTTACTTCTGTAAACATGGAGCATGCTGGCCTGTGACGTCATTGCGTCCTCTACTGCGCATGCGGGACACTTGCGTTGTATGACTGCAGTTCTTACAGGAGATCACATACAAGACGCATATATTTGGAAATATGAAAACATTTTTGCAAAAAAAAAAAAATCGGAATTGAGCATCAAGGCCTGCATTGTGAACGTAGCCTTAGTGGACACGAGCAGTTAATCATTTTGAGTTGACTTTAATCTAACTAAAACCTTTATTGTCAAACGTAAATCAATTATTTGTTTGCATGAGAACATGCAGGGTCATTTGACTCATCTGCCAGTTGGCTTCCCTAAGACTCCTGCTGCTACCCTCATTTTATACCTGTAAACAAATATTTAGTCCCTATATAGTACTGCATCTCAGCAAACCAGAATAATCCTGAAAAGTTTAGTTATTTCTGTTTTACAAAAAAAATACAATTTGTGCATTTATTACACGCTGTACGATGCAGGTTCTGTTAATGTTCATGATTTTTAGCTTAGAGCTAATGAAAATCCAAAATGCGGTTTCTCATAGAACTAAATGAAATTTACCTAAAAAGACTTCAAAAAGACAACTGACTCAACAAGGATGGTAATCCATAAAAATTTGCTGATAAACAAGCTTGTTGTTCAGAATACATCTATTAAGTATACTAATAGAAAGTTGAGTGGAAGGAAAAAGTGTGATTTAAAGATGTGCAACAAGGGTTCAGCCTTAAGAGCGTTATGAAGTTTCTCTATTACAATGAACTGAGTGATATATATTTATTCTCATCTTACTGAGATGAAGCTGCTGTTAAAACCTTAATTTATCAATACATTTTCTGTTCAAATCAAGTATTTTCAGTAATTAAGATGAGAATAGAAAAGCCCTTTAAATTGAAAATTGTTTTTTGTTTTTTTTTGTTTCCTTATTTTCCTTTGGTTTTGGCTCCCAGATCCCTGTTTGGACCAGTCGACTCTTATCTACAGATTTTAACCTCTGATAAAAGCAAAAATGTTTGAGCTACCTGTCTGGTAAATCCCAGTAATCAAAATTCTTTGATCCTCTTTCCTGCTGGTAGACAGTAGAACATAAAGTCCTGTAATTTGCAGATAGCTGCATTGTAACTGTGTCCCTGAATGTTGCTACCATGTTTATCGTACCACAGCATATTCCCAGCTTTGAAGCTCTCTGCTGGTTGAATGTATGGTCTGACACTTGGTTCTTATTTGCTCTGCAGAATTATGATATAATTACCAGATAGGTGTGTGTAGAAGTGGAATTCATCATTTTGCACTCGTATTGCTTCCCTTCACCCCAGCTTATAGGATAAGAAAATGTTCTGCCTCACATCCTGCTTTATGTTAAAGCTTTAATGTTATATCATCTTAATGTATTTCCAGGCTCTAATTGAAACATTGTGCAGCTTTAGAGCATTCAGCCATCTCTGTTTAAGAATAGCACATGCCTTTCTGTCCTCAGTCAGTCATTGCTTAATAGAATGCCTCTTTACAATCTATGATGGTAAAAG